CTCGTGTGAAACGCGTTCTCAGGAAACTTCAGCTGATCCCAGGACCCGGGGATCATGACCTGAGCCGAAGGCAGTCGCTTAACCAACTGAGCCACCCAGGCGCCCTACTCACTTAATTCCTAAACTAAAGACCAAGAAAGGATACTGTCACACATGTCACCATGAGTGGATGTCACCAGATGACATTCAGCCTCATGCTGTTCACCATGAAACAGGGGAGCAGACTGTAATAATTAAGTTTTCAGCTTCTGTGCCAAGCAGCCAGCACTCACGGCCTCTCCACCCCCTTATTTTTCCTGAAGGAGGGGGAAGGCTCTGCTCAGGACTCACCAGCCATCACGGAATAGTTGAAGTGTTCTGCTGCAGGATCTAGGTTCACAACTTGCACAGACCGATTGAGGGCTTCACAGTGCTGGACCATGGTGGCACAGTAGGTGCTCTGGAATGTCACAAGGCATGAGGGGGTCAAAGCGACAGGCAGTCTACTGCTACCTCCTGCATCCCTAAAAGGACACCCTATATCCCTTGATCGGTGTCCACTAAGGCCAAAACTATGCCTTCACTGACCAAGAAGCTGACTGAAAACAGGAAAGGTACCAACCTGGGAGTCGGGACACCTGACTGGGCTGCAGATCCACACCTGGCTGGGACTCACTGGTAACTTTAGCAAAAGCGCTTCTCTACTTTGCCCCTCAGTTTCCTCTTTTTTTTTTTTTAAGATTTTACTTTTAAGTAATCTCTACACCCAACATGGGTCTCAAACTTAACCCCAAGATCAAGAGTTGCATGTTCCACCAAATGAACCAGCCAGGTGCCCCACCCCCCCGTTTTCTTGTCTCTAACTGGGATGGCCTCCACAATCACTAAGGCTCCTTGCTGCTCTAACATGCAGCAAATGGAATTTAAAGGGAAGACTTCTGATCATACCATGCAGCACCTAACACACAATGTGTCCACGAAGAATAGAGTCCAAACAAAGCTTTAAGTAGGGTAGTCAGGGATGTTTCGGGGGGGGGTTGGTTATGTTTGAGCCAAGGGATGTGAATGTGCTTGCCAAGCCAGGGGAAGAGTATTTCAAAATGAGAGCACACTGAGGTCAATAAATAGTCTGGAAATGGACTCTCAGTTTGCAACTTTTGGTTTAGAGAATTCCTTATCCCTCATGTAGTCCTTAATACACTGTTAAAATCTCTAGGCTACTTGTCTGATTTACCCACTGTCTATTTAAAGGCAGGGATGTCTTTTATTCAGTTTTATAAGCCTAGGGACTAGCACTGGTACATAATGAATGTGTGATAATTATTTCTAATTCACTTAATATATTTGGAACATAAACTCTACAAGAGCAGAGATTTGTGTGCATATGTGTGTGTGTGTTTTATTCAGTACACAATTCCCAGGGCCCAGAACAGTCCCTGGCACAGAGAACATGCTCAGTGAGTACTTCTAACAGTAGGCATCAAGAATTTGTAGGAAGATACTTGTCTAACACAATCAGTCTGAAAATTCATCTGGAATATAGAAATAACTTCTATCAGGCTTAGTGACTTTTCATATATATTCTCTCCAAGAGGAGGCCCGCTCCATTCATCATACTATATTTTAATTGGCTAGGCATCTATCAGTCTTCCCAAATAGACTATAGACTCTGGGTAGGCAAGGGCTATATTACAGTCACATGTAGATCTCCTACACCCAGAATAGGTCAAACCTTAGAACAATATGTTCAAGACTGAAGCCAGACAACACCTCCACAGACTCGTGTTTCTCACACTCCTGTTATTTGACTAATAACTTCATTTTTTAAAAGATTTTATTTATTTATTTGACAGAGAGAGCACAAGTAGGCAGAGTGGCAGGCAGAGGGAGAAGGAGAAGCAGGTTCCCCGCCGAGCAGAGAGCCCAACATGGGGCTCAATCCCAGGACCCGGGGATCATGACCTGAGCTGAAGGCAGGCGTTTTTTTGTTTTTTTTTAAGATTTTTATTTTTTTATTTGACACAGAGAGAGAGATAGTGAGTGAGAGAGCACAAGCAGGGGGAGCAGCAGGCAGGCAGAGGGAGCGGCAGGCAGGCAGAGGGAGAGGGAGAAGCAGGCTCTCCGCCAAGCAAGGAGCCTGATGCGGGGCTCAATCCCAGGATCTTGGGATCATGACCTGAGCCGAAGGCAGACACTTAACCGACTGAGACACCCAGGCGCCCCTTTCACCCATTTCTATATTTGAATGCCTCTCATATCATTCCACTCATACTTGTTTACAAGAAAAAAATTATACCTCTATTGTAAATAGAAAACCAGTTATATTTATCATAACATGAAGGTAACCATAAAATTAAATACCCTTAAAGCTCTTTTTGTTCTAGCTAAATATAAATGTCAAAAGCTCTAAGATCTGATCTCTGAAGAGACTTGGGGGTTAAAGAAGTATTAAAGATATAAAGCATCAAACTGACCATTTCACTTCAAAGCAAACTGAAAGAGAATTGAAAAGGGAGTAACTTTCTCAATATATGATTCAATGTTCATTAATCTTAGGCCCATGTACCTACTAAAATCGCCTCTATATACAAGAAGTCCATGTTTCAAGCTCTGACAACAGTGATTTAAGACCTCATTTGAACTTTCTATGAGCGAGACCGGGCCACATTCCGTAATTCCACAAAACTGGATTCAAATTCCAGCGGTCACTTAGTAGCTGTGGGATCCTGGGCAAAGAACTTAACCTTTCTGGCGCTTGGGTGGCTCAGTCGGTTAAGCATCTGCCTTCGGCTCAGGTCATGATCCCAGGATCCTGGGATCGAGTCCCACATCGGGCTCCCTGCTCAACTGGGAGCCTGCTTCTCCCTCTGCCTGCGGCTCCCCCTGCTTGTGCGCACTGTCTCTTTCTGTGTCAAATAAATAAAATCTTAAAAAAGAAAGAACTTAACTTTTCTGTGTCTCATTTTCTGTAAAATTCCCATCTGCAAAAATGAGAATAACAGGACCTATCTCACAGCGTTGTTCTGGAAATAGATTAGTTTAAAAGCAGTATCTGGGGCATAAGTATAATATAAACGTTAGCACCACCGTTGGTTACTCCACTTTCAAAACCACAACGAGCACTGAAGCCCAGACAGCAGAAGCGCGCTGCCCAAGGGTCCCCAGTGTACGCACCCGCTGGTCCCTCGGTCCGGACCAGAACCTCCCTGCCTCCCACGAGCTCCGACTTTTCTCTTCTTCTCCCGCCAAATCCTCACCTTCCCGCTGCCTGCCGGGCCCATGACCAGCTGCGCATACCGAGGCATGTCGGCGCTCCCGGTAGCCGGTGGGGCCCGCTGCACAACACAGTCCGATCGCCCCACTCCCTTCAGCCTTCGCGCGGCGCTCACTGAGTTCCGGGAACACCACGTGCGAACCAATCGCAATCCGAAGTCTCTTTGTGCCTTCTGTTCCAGTACATCCTTGCCTACGGAGCGTCCCGCAGGTCAAATCTCGTGTGAAACGCGTTCTCAGGAAACTTCAGCTGGGGGCGGGGGGCGATTAAGGCGGGGACGGGGGAGGGGGGAGGAGGGAGGGGAAGGAGGGAGGGAGGGCGGTTTGCGTGTGCGCAGAAGTAGTTGGCGGAAATCGGCGGTTGGGATACTAGAGACGCCTGGTTGCCTTGGTGATAACGGATAACGGATAACGGCTAACACTGCATCCCTGCGCCGGGGACTGTGGTCCTTGGTTAGCGTACTGATGTTTGACCTATACGGTGACAGTCAAGATTTGCAAATTTGTAGAGGGTCTGAAATACTAAGGGTCCGGAAGGCACCTCCTGTTTTAGAGGGCATGTATATTTCCTTCCCGTGACTACTCCCTTCCACAAACCGTGCAAGCGCGCAATCAACTAAAGAACTCCTGCCCCTCCCCCAACTTAATTCCAGCGTCGTGCATCTGCCCTCCCCGCTCTCCCGAAGCTATTCGGGCAGTGTCCGGAGCGCATCGGAGGGGGCTAGAATACGGCGTCCGCCTCTTCACCCCCAATATCGCCCGGCCTGACGCACGCGTGCTGACGGGGGAGGGGAGAGGGGAAAGCTGCTTCCGCGCACTGCTCGAGGTCCGGGCACCGGGGAGGAGATGCCCGGCCAGGGTCCGGTGTCCGACTGGACAGAATGCAGCTCTTCCGCAGAGCCTCCCGCAGTAGCCGGGACCGGGGGTGGCGGCGGCGGGTGAGGCTGAGGGGCCCTGAGGGGTTAGGGAGGATGACGACCGGCTCCGGGTCGGGATCCCCTGTGGAGGAGGGGGTGGGAGCTGGCTGCTCCAATGGACTGGTCCCCGGTGGACTGAAGTGAGAGGAAAGGAGAACCTTTGTTGTGGCCGGGGTGGGACAGATGGAAGCCGACTCACTGTTTAGGGGAAGGGCTTGTGAGGTAAGGGTGAGTGTTGGTGCAATGACTAAACGCGGGGACTGCGACAATTGCCTGGGTGCATTTTTCTGCCCCGAGGGGGCGCTGCGAAACCTGCTGGAAAATATGCAGGCTCCCATAGGATCTCTACAAAAAGAGGGGGTTGGGGGCCCAGCAGAAACAGAGGTTCAACGGAGGGTTTCCAAGTCAATAAATCAGTTACGTGTGTGCGACATTAGCCACCTTTTGTCCAGGGAATTCATAATGCCGATGTGACAGATAATTATGAATATTAGAGGCACCTTGATCTTGACATTTTCTTCCCACTGAAGTTTTTCTTCATAAATCCATTTTATTTTGAGCAGGTTTTTTACTGTTATTTCCCGGATGCTGAAGACAATTAGTCTTCAGTACCTTCTCATCCCTTCCATCAGTTCTTCCCTAAAAGTGAGAGCTGCAGGGTGTTCCTCTCCAAAAGCACAGTCATGGCTCCTGCTGCACCCATTACCATTATATATATATATATAGTGGATCGAAGACTTTCTTAAAAAGATTTACTTACTTGAGAGAGAGAGAGTGCAGATGTGCACGGGAGGGGGGGGCAGAGGGAGAGAGAGAATCCTCAAGCAGACTCCCCACTGAGTGAGGACCCTGAGATTATGACCTGAGCCCAAATCAAGTCAGCCGCTTAACCAACTGAGCCACCCAGGTGCGCCTGGAAGACTGTTAAAGATGGGGTCTTGTCTTTTCTGTTCATTATAGTGCTTGACTAAGTGCTGGATCCTAATATATCAGGAGATCAATGAACACTTGGTTACTGAATAAATTGAAGGAAGCAGGAAGGAAGCCTGTTTCTTTTAATTTGAAAGAAGAAAAAAGAACTTGTACAAAACTAGAAACATTCCAGACCAATTTATCAGTTCCAGTATACCTTAATTACATAAAGAACAAGATAGCCTTTTCATATCAAGTTACTTTATTAAAAATAGAGACAGCAAGGAAATACCATAGATAACACAGAAGCCCAAACTACTTTATTGAGCTCAATGTAGGAATTAGATTAAGAGGCCTTAAAAGTAAGACCAAATCTGGCTTAAGGTAAATCCTTTCTAGTACAGTAAAAACCTCAGATAACTCACTTGGAAAAAGCCTGGAGCCATTAGGATATAACCAGGATTACAGGAGAAAATTTGCAAGATATTCCATCTGATGGGAGCATGAAAAGTAAAAAGCATATACAGTACTTTTTTCATTTAAAATACTTTCTTTAATGCTTATAAAGCTGTCAGTTATTACATATTATTTAAATCCTTTTTCCCCCCCAACAGATCAGCTGGACATTCTTATTATCAGAATTCCAAAGGTATTGGTAAGTAGAACATAAAAAGTAGGTAATACTTATAAATAACATGGTTCAGAGATGCTAATTTTGCTATAACTACAAACAAAAAGGAGTTTTAAAAATAGACTTTATAAGCATCCTGGTGAAATTAGTCTTTAAGATTTTCAAAGAACAATCCAGCAGGTTCTTTTTCTCTTGTTAAGTTATTTCACATCAAGCACTTTAAAAAGAGTACTTCAAAATAGCAATGAATCTGAAAAGAACTGTGTTATAACTGATGTTTGAAAAGCAAAGAGTATGGCCTGGGGTTTATAAATTGAAGGGAAAAATTCTAACTTGAACAACTTCAATGTTGCTATTTTTCCTCTCACTTGAAATAAAGGATAAAGCTGCTGGAATTAAGAGAGTAAGACAAACCCCCAACGGTGTCTCATTAATTTTTTTGGGGGGGGAGCAATTTCAATTCAATGATCTATAAACCTGGATTCATACTTTTTCTTGGAAAATGTATAGTCCTTACAATTACCTGAGAAAAACACACAGACACGTATCTATGTGTATATACATACATAAAAATGCATTATATACATATAAATAATGTGGTTTTTAAATGGAATTGCTGGATCATATGGTGATTATTCTGTTTAATTTTTTGAAGAACCACCACACTGTTTCCACAGCAGCTGCACCATTTTACATTCTCATCAATGCACACAGTCCGAGTTTCTCCACATGCTAGCTAACACTTGTCATTTTTTTAAATGATAGTTATCCTTATGAGTATAAAATGGTACTTCACTGTTATTTTTATTTATATCTCCCTAATGAGTAGTGATAGTGAGCATCTTTTCAGGTGCTTATTGGCCATTTGTATATCTTCCTTGGAGACATCCAAAGTCTATTCAAATCCTTTGCCCATTTTTCAGTTGGGTGTTTCTCTTTGAGTTTAACTACTATTTTTTTAAAAGGCTTATTTATTTGAGAGGGGGAGGGCAGAGGGAGAGAGAATCTCAAACAGGCTTCCTGCTGAGCGTGGAGCTGGATGCAGGGCTTGATCTCAAGACCCTGAGATTGTGACCGGACCCTAAATCAAGAGTCAAATGCTTAACTGACTGAGCCACCCAGGAGCCCCTAACTAATATTTATAAATGCTTCATTTTCTGTAAAGAAATGTTACCAAGCTTTTGAGAAGTTAAACTTTAGTCCAGGCTATAATACACATATCAGAAATACTGATTAGCAGGGACACAAAAGATATATTCTTAGATAATTAGTCCACATTTATGACTTGAAACAGGATTTTTTAAAAAATAAACTTTTAGGGCGCCTGGGTGGCTCAGTTGGTTAAGCGACTGCCTTCAGCTCAGGTCATGATCCTGGAGTCTCAGGATCGAGTCCCGCATCGGGCTCCCTGCTCGGCGAGGAGCCTGCTTCTCCCTCTGACCCTCTCCCCTCTCATGTACTCTCTCTCTCATTCTCACTCTCTCAAATAAATAAATCTTTAAAAAAATAAACTTTTATTATTATAGATTCCAAATTATATTTTAAAGGTCATAATAACATAATTTCCAGATGATTTTCCCTTTGTTGGCAAACTAGTTAGTCCTTCAGTAAAGCAAATATAACCCTTACTTATCTGAATTAACTCTCCAATTTGTCAAAATCTTGAAGAAATAAATAACTAAAGTTTAATATGTAAAATTATAGTGCCTTTGTTGTCAATATTGAAACAAAATTGTGTTTATTTAATTCAACTTCTAAATACAAACTTTTAACTTAAAAATATGTCCTGCCAGCTTTATTTATACTAGCCTAAAACTGGAAACAATCCAGATGTCCATCAACAGGTGGATGGATAATCAAATTGTGATATGTTGGAATATAACCCAACAATAAAAAGGAATGAACTATTGTTACACATCACACACTGATGGATTTCAGTATAAATATGTTGAGGGAAAGAAGTCAGACACAAACAGAATATATACTGTATGTTTCTATTTAAATCAAACTCAAGAAAATGCAAACTGATTTACAGTGATACTAACTGTAGTGACAGAAAGTTGTCTGGAGGGAGGGAGTGTGTGGGAAGAAGGGGAGTGTTACAAAGAGTTTTTTACTAGTTAAATTTTCCCAGATACTGTTTTTCCCCAAAGTGCTACTGAAGTTTATACCCTAAATTAAGTTACTGGTTTCAATATGTCTGAAACTGAAAACTAGTTTCATTCTTCTAGATATGTCTCAACTTTTATTTTTATTAAATGACTCTTCTTTTAATCTATCCACATCAGTATTAAAAACATTGAAATAATTGAAATTGTGTAGAAGTAAGTTTTAGTAAAATTCTGCAAAGCCCTTTTAACACTGCCTCATTAAAGATACAAAATTTGTGTTATTCTATCTTGAGTTTAATACTATATGCTAAAGTCGAATGATAAAATATTGTTATAAATCTTTACAGTGCAAGTTCTGCATGTATATTCCTGTTTAATATGGTCTGACATACAATAAGCTAACAAAAATAAGCTACTGTCAACAGTTTGCATCTCAGCTAAGTTCAAAATAATGTAGTCTATATATTATGATACATATATATGGTAAATGTTTACAAATATCTTAAGAGTTTTGTATGGTCTAAAACCAAGTGGCTATATCATACAGTCTCTTCAAATTTAACAGAATGACTCATACTACTACTCCAGGATAATCACAGACACATGTAAATATATAGATATTAATAATCAACTTGTTGAGCTGCTATTTGGTCATGAAATTCACATAATGTCCTTGTCTACAGACAGAATCAAAGACGGACACAAAGTGAACACACACATAGCCAAGCTGCAAGAGTTGTGGAAAACTCCTCAAATTCAAGCAATTCACATCCCTAAATCAATGACCGATGCGTCCTTTCTAAAGGTATACTAAGTACCAATACTTTGTTTAAATACCAAATTCCGTGTATTCAGAGCTGAACTTTTTATTGAAGATAAGCTACTTAGAGGGTAAGGCACTTCAGAAGACAAGGTACACTCAGCCTATTGTCTGGGGGTCCGTAAATACCCGCTGAGTAAACTCATGAAATGAATAAAAGGATTTTTATCATTATAGATTCCTTATCATATCTATATAATTTCTTTCGGGGCTTTATGATACTTGAGATCTAATGTACCTTTACTCAGGAAGCTCAACTCCCCTAAGGAAAGTTACATTCTAGAGATGGAAACCCAAACTCACAGGTTCCGCTGAAGGTCTGTAAAATTAGAAGCAAGCAAGTAAAGAAAATGGCAGTCAGCATTTTACAACTGTTGAACCTCTATTACCCATTAAAGGTCATAACTGCCAGAAGTATCCTTGTGAGAGCAATGCAAATGAAGGTTACAATAGTCTGTGCAAATTGGTCAATTTTTCTGACCAACATTTTGAATTTTCTCTGGATTTACCTATTCAGTTCAGTAAATCCTGTGTGTGTGTAGACACATACATCTACAGGGGAGTCTTGCATGTTAAGTGTTACCTTCTAAAATCAGCAAGTGAAAATCTTAGTTAAAATTACTTTTACCAAAGACCAATAGACTATTCCTCAGTCTGTTCAACACAGACAGTTATTCTTCTGGTGCTAGAAAAGACTGTTTCTTTAGTTAAGACTAAGTAGAGTAGCTGAGTTGCTTTTAGATACCACAGGATACCTCAAAAATTGTATTTAGAAGGTAAGATGCCTATACTCACTGAGAGGCACATAGGAACTAAGACTCACAGAACAGCATATCCCTACTCTCCTTATTCTTCTAGGGTAGTGGTTTTCACCCCTCAGAGGCATCTGAATCACTTGAGTGGAAATGGCAGGCAGAGTCACTTGTGCTGTTTAAATGGCCATTTCTTTCTTTTTTTGGCCAGATTAGCGTAGTTGAATTTGAATAGGCAAAATGTACAGATGGTAAGCTCTCCTGAACATTCATCCTTTCAGATAAGGAATATTGCCAACCTCTTGTTCTGCAGTGCCTATAAATCTTGTTTGTCTTTTAGCATCCAGACCTCACCACAGGCCAGAAGCGCTATCTGTGCAGCATTGCTAAGATCTATAATGCGAACTATCTGCGGACGTTAATGAGGAGGCAGTACATGCATGTGATCCAGCACAGCTCCCAAAAGCCAGGCAGGTGCACCTCATTAGTTTCTCACTAGTTCTCACAAGAAACCAGAGAGTCTTCTAACAGGTGATCTGTATGACAGGTTTCCTCACTCATCACAAGAGCCGCCTCAGTTCTCGTTCCTCCCAGAAGCAGCATTACCCCTGCACCACCTGGCGACACCAGCTGGAGAGAGTGGACTCGGGGCCTCCTAACATGGCAGTTGCACCCGCGCCTGAAATGATCCTACAGCATTCCCTTTGGCGACCAGCGAGAAACAAAGAAGGGTCTGTTTCTTATGGTTTAAAAGGAGGAAAATATAGCCCAATTTTATTTGAACGGTTGCTAACTGAGATTAAAGCTTGTTTCCTAATAAGTTCATTTGGCTAAATTCAGAATAGGTTAGACAGAAAGCACAAAAGGATCTTACAGTCTCTTTACTGATCTGATTGGGATATGCCACTCCTTTTAGAACACATTTTGTGGAACTGTAAAAATTTCTTGATCAGCTAGAGATCTGCAAGACTGCCCTTTTCAGTAATTCCCACTCAAATTCAAAATAATACAAACACTTCCAAAAGGAGCATATGGTTGCTTCTGCACAGATTACTATAAACAAGGAAATAAAAAAAAAAAAGAGAAGCAGCAGCCTGATTATTCAACCTGCACTACAATAGTTAGCTTTGTGTTTCAGGGTTAGTAAGTCAAAGGAGACTGCAAAAATCTTTTTGGTGAAGCTGGCAGCTTAATAAAAAGAATTTGTATGGTCTTCCACATGCATTAGACAGCTGTTGATTTTGCTGGTTCCAATTAAGATGCTTCTCTTTCTTATAGTTTAAAAACTGGATATGCATCTAAAACAAGATGTAAGTCACTGAAGATTTTTAGAAAACCAGGAAAACTGTTCATGCAATCAGGTAAATGTGAAATTTTAAAAATATGCATTTTGAAAGCTCTTATGCTTAAAAAAATATTAAACCCAATAATTTCATTTCTATTACAGAAGACATTAAAAATGTAGAATGTGATTTGCTTTTAATTCTCCAAATGAGTATGAAATACAGTTTCTGCTTTCACTTAAAAGAACATACTGCTCAGGGGAGTAAGATTCAAGGTACTTCTAAACAAAGGTATTTATAATATCAAGGTCAGAGACTTAACAGAATGAATTTGTTAGAACCCAGAGCCACTAACATGACTTTTTCAAGCCATAGCACTTTTATGAGATAGTGCCATTTTTGGATGGACAACATATTTTGTATGCCATCATAGTTTATGAAGGGCTGTATCACTTCTATAATTTTGTTTAATATTCAACAAACCAGTGGAAGCAAGCCAACCCAATGGTATCAAAATTTTGCGAAGCAACTCCAATAAATCCAGAGTTGGTGGATATCAGCATAAAGGATCCTACAAGTGCAGAATACTACAAAATGAAAAGGGCAAAAGGGGAAGAAAGAATACTCAAAGGTATTCCTCAGAATTGATAAAGTGGAAAGGATTAAGTGGAAGTTAAACAATTTTGTAGCTGTTCCTACGAGTAGGGAAGTAGATAGGAAGTAGGGAAGTTAGGCCTTCTGAACTCCTATCCCATTGCTGTGTGACAGTCCAAGAAATGAGGGAAATGGCAGGGGAGAAAGTAAGTCTGGGTCCAAAGATAACAGCTGGAGGAACCCCAGGTAGGGGTAAAGTCCCTGTGGTCCCTGAGAGATGAGAGAGTAGGAACTTAATGCTTAAAGAGAGGAGAATGCTGAAGCTATGACCTTCGCATAACCAAAAGATTTTGACGAGCAAAGACAAAATAGGACTTAGTAACAGAAAATTTGCTATACAATAACTTGGCTTGAATACAGTACTTACTGGGTATCTTATTTTAAAAAGTAAGAGATTTGGGGGAAGGGGGAAGTGGTTAAGTTTTGAAAATTGCAGGCGATTTGTTTTTGTGAAAGCCTTATTACTAAGGTAGGTCATTTTGAAGGTGGTTTTTATATACAAATCTCAATTTTCAGGATGAAATACACCTTTATTTCCAAAACAGACATTATAAACTCTTATTTTTCTTTCAGTTTCTACAAATGATTCTGAATCATACATGAATGAAGAAAAAAAGGAGGAAGATTTACTAAATAAGTGTATGCAATCGATGTCAATTGAAGAACAAGGAGAACATCTGATGTGAACTTGACAGCCTTGTCTTGTGAATTGATGAGGTGCCAAAAGGGGGGAAGTGGTTTTGAATTGTGTCCTCTTTCTACATTTAGGATAGTATTGTTATTCACCATGAAGTCATTAAGTAATTTTAGTTTGTTCAGAAATGTTTACAACAGTGTAATTAATTGGTTTGATGTAGTTCCATGTACTGATATTTGTGTAATGAGTTATGTGTAATATATGCTTGTATTTCTAGCTAGATACAATTAAAAATTTTCTCGTCGCTTAAAATTGTTTTTCTTTAAATCTGTCAAACTGTATAATTCCTTTTCACCTTACAGTAAGTCCTAAGACAAAAACATGAGAATCCCCTACAAGTATTTTTTTTTTTTAAAGATTTTATTTATTTATTCATGAGAGACAGAGAGAGAGAGAGAGAGAGAAGCAGAGGGAGGAAGCAGGCTCCCAAGGAGCAGGGAGCCCGATGCAGGACTCGATCCCAGGACCCTGGGATCATGACCTGAGCCAAAGGCAGACGCTTAACCATCTGAGCCACCCAGGTGCCCCCCTACAAGTATTTTCTTGATTGAGCTAAGGAAAGCTCTGAAATAGACTGATACAGAATACCATTTGATAGAGACTTGCAAAAAAAGTTTAATAAATATTTACTGCTTGAATACAACTTAAAAATGGAAGTATCAATTTGCCCTATTTTATGAAAATTGCCAAACGCTTGGACTCTCAAACTAGAGTAAGTTGGGAGTAATTGTACTGGGAAGATTCCTTATGTATTCATTCTACTGTGCCTCCTTTCTAAAAAAAAAAATACACACACACACAAATTAAAACTTGAAATACAGGAATAGGGCAATTTAAAGCAACAGTTTGAGGAATTATTGCTAATGTCAATATAGTATATATATTTTTAAAGATTTTACTTGACACAGAGACAGTGAGAGAGAGAGAGAGAGCAAGCAGGGGGGAGCGACAGGCAGGGAAGAAGCAGACTCTCCGTTGAGCAAGGAGCCCGATGCAGGGCTCGGTCGAGGATCTGAGCCGAAGGCAGACGCTTAACGACTGAGCTACTCAGGCGCCCCAATATAGTATATTCTTTAGAAGATCAAATCTGAGCCCAACATTATGACCCAGAACATTGTAAGAAATGAGCCGTGAAAGGTCAACCCATCTACCTCATCACTTTGATGCTTGAGTGCAGTTTCATATGGTCTATAATTTTTATGATTTTTAAAAATTAAAACAGTTTATCAAGAAAGTATAAATGAAAAGTAACTGTTTATTACTGGAGAGAAAAGTGTATACAAGAAAGTCTAGATTCTTTTTCCTCATGCACTACTTTTGTAATAAAGTTCCAGATATCAACTTTGAAGATATTTACAAGGGTACATTTTTCTTAGCATGGGACCATTTACTGTATGATGGACATTTCCTCAGAGAAATCATATATGGAAACGGAACATATTCTTATAGTTTACAAGAAGCTTAGAACATTGTATTAACAGAAGATGATATATTTTACTGCAAAATATTATAAAAGTGATACAATTTTGTAGCTCATAAATGTTTAATTACTTGATTTGAACGGGAATGAAAAAAAAACCCAGCAAGACAGGCCTGGCTTTTAAGACTTTTTATATTCAATTCGTTCTACTTTCACATCATCTCCAATTAGCTGATACACGTAAGTGACAACTGTAGAAGCCTGGATGTCCATTAACACAAATGAAGGAATAATATTTCTGGAAGAAAATATAAATAATGTCAGTGTTTTGTACTAAAAAGCACCAGCACTAAAAATTTCAATTTACAACAGTTTGGATTCAAGGAGAATTCTAGTTGTTACATATTGAAAATAATCACCAAAAGAAGATTGCCCAAAAGGCTATAATTATTGAAATGGTTGCATTTCTCCTTTATGAAATGTCACACATGCAATTAACTTAAAAAAATCCCCAAATCCTCAAATTACTACTTACGTTTCCAAGGCATTATATGCTCCAGTGGCAGAACCTGGGTTAATGTAGAATTTATTTTCATGCTCAAATGCTTCAAATTTGTGTGTGTGTCCTGAGATAAGAATGTCCACATCAAACTGCCTCTGCAACAGGGCTAAGCTGGCCATATCTCCCCATGGAATAACTTGATGCCCATGGATCAGACCAATTTTGAACTGCCCAACAGTCACAACTTTCTGTTCTGGATAATTCAGATTCTAAAATAAGAAACAGACATAAATATATATATATACTTTTAGAGATATTCATGTTTAAAAAAACCTGATTAAATATTCAATCCCATGTGGATATTTTGATACAGTGCTCCCCAACCAAAACATTTATTAAATATTTGATTTCTCCTCAGTCTCTAAGGCTACAACTATGCTCAAAACATAACTTATTCCAGGTAAACTGGAATTTATCAAGCAATCCCTGCCTCGTGTTTATCTTTTTTTTTTTTTTTAACAGAGTAGGGGTTCTTTGGGGAATGCTGTAGAGAATAATTATTCCCCCATATTTGTGAGTTTCCTCTACCTAAGAATCCTAGGCATATGACCTATAAGCTAAGTGTGTTCAAATTATAGCCCAGACTTTATTATATAGATGGCTTCAAATAATAATGATAGTTAACACCCATATAGCCCTTAGTATGAAGCAGGCACTAAGGGCTTTATAAATATCAACCTATTTAATACTGACAGTCCTAAGAGGTAGCTTCTATTATGATCCCCATTTTATGGATGAGGAAACTGAGGCAAAGAGAGGTTAAAATAACTTGCCCAAGGTCACACGTTAGTAAGTGGTTGAGCCAAATCAGAAGCAAATTTTAATTCTTGCTACTGAAACTCTTTAGCATAACACAAACAGAACCGCAAATATGTTTTTAACCAACCAAACTTATATTCTATTTATTGACAAGAAATCTGCCCCTTCCCTTCTCATCTCCCTGTCTTTTGCCCCCAGGTGAAAGATTATCTGAACTCTTTTTTAAAATCCACTATAAAGAGGGCACCTGGGTGGCTCAGTTGTTAAGCGTCTGCCTTCCGCTCAGGTCATGATCCCATGGTCCTGGGATCGAGGCCCATGTCAGGCTCCCTGCTCTGTGGGAAGCCTGCTTCTCCCTCTCCCACTCCCCCTGCTTGTGTTACTTCTCTCACTGTGTCTCTGTCAAATAAATAAATAAATAATCTTAAAAAAAAAAAAAATCCACTAAAGAAAAAGACATTATGCTTATTCAGTTTGGTATAAAGGAACCCCAGTAAACAGCACCAATGAAGTTAACTGATTTATGAAAAAGCTTACCAGAAATACAAAGGAAATTCTTCACACATCAGATTTATCATGCTAAATCATATGTTAGTATGGGTTGGGATCTTAAAAATCATCTATTCCAATCATATTTACATAAGAGGAAACTAAGGCCAGAAAGGATATAATTTGCCTAAAATCTCATTATGAACTAATAGACAAAGCTGCAATCCCAGAACTTCTAACTTTGTTCTTTAAAGTCAGGTTTATTGAGGTATAATTCACATACAGTAAAATTACTCTTTTTAGTGTACAATTTAAGGGGATTTGACAAATGCATACAGTTATGTAAGCTCTGCCACAATCAAGACCCAGAACAGTTTTATCACCTCCGAAACTTCCTCGTGCCCCTGTGTAGTTAACCCTGAAGTTAGAGAGGCACAGTAGGGTTTTCAGCATAGTGGTGATGTGATCTTACTTCACCTAAAAAGGATCACACTGGTTGCTACTTGGAGAACAAACTATGGAGGGAGGAAGGGTGGAATGAGAAAGTTGGAATACAGGAAAGTGATTTGGTGGCTTGGAACAGGATAGCAGCGGTGGTGGTGAGAAGTCTGTAATAAAAATATAAACTAAATGATAGTACTATAAAAAAGTGACAAAATCACTTTTATTCCATATTTTTTAAAGGTTTTATTTATTTTTTAAAGATTTATTTATTTATTTGACAGAGACACAGCGAGAGAGGGAACACAAGCAGGGGGAGTGGGAGAGGGAGAACAGGCTTCCCGCGGAGCAGGGAGCCCGATGCGGGGCTCGACCCCAGAGCCCTGGGATCATGACCTGAGCGGAAGGCAGACGCTTAACGACTGAGCCACCCAGGTGCACCAATCAATTTAGTTCAGAACAAGTATTTAATATACTTACCGAGTAGTCTAACATCGGTGATTTTCAGAGTAAGGGGCACGTAGGTGTAGTAAATTTGTATTTGGGAAGTTAGCAACAACAACAAAAAACCCTCAACAATTGCAAAACTCAGGTGTAAAGGATAAAGCTTATATATGTAAGAATCAAGAAAAGAAATATTTGTGCATGTAAAGAGAAATACATCACCTCATCGAAGTCTCCTCTCACAATATGAACATCACCGGCCAGAGTCTTGAGATAGTCATAACTCTCTTTGGTGCAAAGGTTTCCAGTACAGAGAATGTGCTGAATCTTTCCTGGCACCAGCAGCTTTTTGAATTTAGCCGGCAAACTGTTGCACCGGTGTGGGATGTGCAGGTCTCCTAATACCAACACCAACTTTAAAGTGTCAAGGAGAGACAAGATGTAATGTCAAACATGACGTCAAAACAAATGTTCTCCTCTCTTAACTCCCCTTTAAACTAAGCAGAGATTTCAGAACCCAAAGAAGCGGAAGTTATCCATACAGTTCTTACCATGACTATTTAAACAAAGACACATATGGTAACATACTCTGTTCTAATCATCTTTATTTTATTTTGGTCATAAACACTGTGAATACACAATACAGGTCATCATTCTATTTACCAAGAATAAAACCAGCCTTTCTCAAGCAATTCATCTAGAGACCTATAAATGACTGAATTTAAAAAATTGCAAAATGAAAAATATACCATGGGGTCCTATGGAATTTGGCATTTTTGAGTGACAGGGTAATTCATATTTCTGCAGCTATAATGTAAAACACAGTATACTGATTCCGATGTTCCAGGAACATTAAAGAGAATTGTTAAAAATGTAGTGATAGAGAAAAAACTTAATTCTGTAATTTATGTTTACTAGACTGAAACTATTTGGAGGAAAAGTAGCCAAAATTTACAATATTTATTACTAAAAACTATTAGCTATATAGTACAAAGGAATAAAAACAGCCTATGTTTCAAAGAGTTTCAATAGGACAAACCCGTGCTTTTGAATTCTGATAGCTGTTCTCTCCTTCCTTATGAGAAATCCTGTCATACGTTTACTATCTAGATTAAATGGCCTATGTATCCTCAGTTTGGTTCCCAAACTTAAAATAACATCTTCACAGTCTTTCATGTGCATTAGAGCATTAAAAAAAAAAAGAGAGAGAGAGAGAGAGAGAGAAAGATCAGCTAAATAAGTGATGAATTTAGGAGGTGGTTTAGAGTTGTAATAGTTTCAGATGACAAAAATAAATTTTGCACTTAAGTATAATAAAAAACCTCAATCCTGCAAAACTTTTAATTTTACAATTTAAAATATTGACATATAAACATTACTTAATTCAGTCATCTAATGGAATATTGTCAAAACATCATTTTAACTATTTATCGTCCAAAGGACAACAATTTCTTCATGTTGATTAGTATAAACACCTTCATTCTGTAACAGGATGTTTTCCCACACAGACATCCCATCCATAAATGTACATGCCCTTTAACTGCTTTTAAAGAAGGCATGACTCTTCCTTAATATCATCCAAGAAAACATTAAGTATCTAAAGTAGAATAAAAACAGAAAAGTTTTGCCACCACAGACTTTTAAACTTAATCAAAAACAAAATGTGTGAAACTAAAATTATTAAACAAACTTGATTCATCTTGCAACAAATATCAACATGATTACAAAGGACACAGAGTAATTGAAGTAACACAAGGTTACAAAACTAGCACACTTTAAAAATAAATTAAGTTTCTTCTTTTTAAAGAGTAGTTTCAGCTGGTATTTGTTCAATGACTTGTTTCAATCCAGATCTTAGTGGATAAAACATCTTAGTGTAAAACTAAAAACCACTATGAAGTTTCCACCCTCATTGGTAATCAATGCAAAAGTACCTGGAGAGAGAACAATCTTCATTTTTAGAGGGGGATCCCTTCAGATAGGGACTGAAGTACATAGTTAATGTAGGCAGCTGGCATTTGAGAAAAAGGCAAAAAATAGATTTCTATATTAAAAAAAAAGAACCTCAAACTCATAAAGGGTCTATGTCTATTGCAGGATGAAAGTCTTTGGGACTGATAAATGAATGAGCTGTTCAATCTGAATGTGCTAAAAAGAATATTAGTATGACATGATACTTTATAATGATCGATGACCTAAATTCTATCATGTATTATGGATTATGCCAAAGTGTATCCAGATTATTAGCAGTTTAAAGATATAACTATATGAATGAGCAAACAAAAATTATTTCAAACTAGTAAAGATTCTTACTAAGACTCCTGTTTCATGTAGGTGACTAAGTTATTGGGGAAACAGTGTCACATAACAAATGTCATACTTTGAGGAATGTCCTTGCCCAAATTCCACACTTTGGACAGTTCAAGTTAGACAAAGTTTATAGTCTTTTGAGACAGCAAAAGATCCTGGAAACGGCAGTCTTGTTAAATTCAAATAAAGAACCAACCCAATCAAAGCATAGGAATTTGGCTACTTCCTGTTGGACAGACTGTAAAAGGGTGAAAATCCCAGTAATCAGCCACCCGACCACCGTTGTTAGTACGAGCTAAGAGAAGAAACTTACTCTGTGCCCAGCCTTAGTGGAATGAAGAAGTTGATTGCAGACAGGGGAATGAAAAAAAAGGGTGAAACATGACCAATGTTAAAAGAAAGCAACGAAAAGAAACCAAAAACAGAGCAACAAAAAACTCGTATCAAATGAATATGCCAACAATTGTTAATGATTTCTGAGTGTTATGAAAGAAAATGTTAAAAATTGGCTTTGCTCAAAACAATACCAAAAGAACCATTTGCTGTATTTTTAAACATGACACACACACACTGTTAAAAAAAAAAAAAAATCTGCCTTGTCAATTTTTTCTACTTCTAATCTTATTCTCTATATTGACTCCCTTCCCTCTCATTTCCTGCTGTTTAGAATTTTATAGGACAATTTGGAAAATTCATCAGGAACAATGTAAAAGAAAGCTAACATTTTGTGGATTCTTAAGGACTAATTATTCCTCACGTATACTGATTTTAATTCTCTTATGCTCAAATTCTAGTAGCTGGAAAATTTATGCTGCAGCTAGATCATTATTTTGTATAGATCTAACATAGCACTCTGAATACATTATCAGATGGTGAAGTCACCAACTAAAGATGATAAAAAACCAAACACATTCCTCCAGCTAAAATTGGACCTTCTCCACAGCTGAATTTGCTGCCCATAGGCTCTGGACACTACTGAGTGTTGAACATTTCTGGTCTACTTTGCCAAATGAAAGATTTTTAATCATAAAAGAATAAGCTAATGCTGAATTTTACCCAGTTCTATCTCAGGTGACAAGTTATGTTCCAGTATAACTACCCTAAAAAAGTGTTCATCTTTCAAAAAAAACTTTAGAAACATGAGTATGGAATCATATGTCATCTTCTCAAAACTGTCTCAAAATTACTGTAAACCGATCACTCTAAACTGGAGTCTGTTTAGAAGCAAAAATCAAAAACGGGATTAAAGCCTTTCACATATACAATACATTAAAGAAACATAAACCATAAATCTGTGGCTGTCACATCTATAAGCCACCTCAAAGGCTATGCTTGTCACAGAATCGTGATCTTAAAAATGCAATGGATGCTCATCAAAAAGAAAAGTCCCTTTAGAGTTACCCTCATCAACACAAATAGCAAGATAATCTGAGCTCCTTTTTGAACACGTTCTTAACTTTTTAGGGGGTGAAGGGCACCTCTGAAAATCTGATTACAGCTACGCGCCCTCTCCAGTAGCAGCTCCTGAGTTTTTACGTAGGAAGGTCTTAGGGGCGGAAACCTATTGGAGGCCAGCTGGTGGGGGGCCAGCCTTGAAGCTGGCTGGGCAATCTGATGAAGGACGGAGGTAAAACTCCCCAACGTACCCCTTGGCGCCAACACTGGCTCCTTACCTGGAAAAACACACATATTCACAAAATTTTCCAATTTCAAGGAGCTCATAAACCATTTAGGAAACAATAGTTCCAACCATTCTAAGAGCCAAATCCAGTCCCCTGAGGACTCGCTACCACATTTCAATGGCAGCAGCACTTTATTTCAGGGGCGAAGGGGATAGTTTGTACGCCTTTTCCGCAGATGGCAAACCAAAATGGACAGGGGATTCTGCTCGTTACTTCCCGTTTTGCATCCAAGAAGCCAGCTTTCAACACATGCGGGTGACAACCGGTATACCCCAACCAGCGGGAGGTGCCTTTTAAGGGAAAGGAGAAGGGAAACGTCTGGAAAAGGGGGGGGGGACCGTGCCCCTTTCTCGGGGGCGCTGGAGGCCCAGGCCCAAAGGCCTTTCCCGACTCGGGCGTGCGGGTCTCGTGACAGGACGAGCCGCTGAGAGGGGCCCCTTTCCCCTCGGGCGTCCTCTGGCCCCTGGGGCGGGGCTGCGAGGCCAGAGCGGGCCGCAGCCAGAGGTGGCTGCTCCTTATCCTCCCCTGCCCTTCCCCTGGGCCTTCTCCAGGCCTGGCCCTGGGCTGCGCCCGCCACAACCCCCGTAATGGCCCACGCCCTCGCCTAGAGACTCCCAGCTGCTCCCAAGGACGCAGCACCGCGGCCGACAGCTAGGCTTCGGTCGACGCATCTGTCGTCCTCACCATCCTGTCACTGGGCTCCGCTCAGTCACCACCACCGCCGCCGCCTTCTTCCTCGGGCTCCTCGGCGCCCCGCCCACTTCGCTCTCAGCCAATGACAGATGATGTCGGCAGGAGACAGCCTACGGATGCCCGCAGAGGCCCTTCCCTGCCGTAAAACAGATGCTCTTTGGGAAATGGTGGCGTGGGGGCGGGAGGTGTAAGATCTTGAAGCTTCGAAAAGGGCGGGCGACATCCGGGCATCTGGGGCCGTCGAGCAGAGGCGCGCCTTGGAGCGTGGCTTGTTAGGGCCCGCGGCCATGCTGAAGTGCGGGATGAGCGGCAGTCAAGTAAAAGGTGGAGCGACTTTTCTTGCATTCCTAATTAGAAAAGGGAAAGCAAAAAAAAAAAGAGAGAGGGAAAGAAAGACTAAGGTTCTTGGGGGCGATTTCCCCTTTGTCCTTTATGCAAAGGGGCTGGCGACACAAGGCCTGGCACTGAACAGCCGCCACCCACCCAGGCTCCGAGTAGCTTCCGAGAGGAGGAAGAGGGCCCGTTTGCATTTATTTATGCATAGTATTCATTGTCCTCAGTGTCCATGAAATGAAACTGCACCCCTGGAACAGAGATTGGGAATGTGGGCTTCAAACTCGGAATGATAAGGACTGCGTGAGGAGGAGTTGGGGGAAAAAATGATGCTTAGACAGTAAAAAGTATTTTAGTGCCATGAGGAAAGCATTGACCTGGTTTTTATTCTAGATTCTACCATTTTTCGATGTATGACCTGGGACAAACCACTGAATCACTGTGGGGCTCAGTTTCCTCATCTGTAAAAATGAGAATAATAACAGCATTTTCGTCACAGGGCTTGTAGGAATGAAACAGATGCATGTAAAGAGCTCAATAATGGGAATGTACTTAAACGTTAAGTTACTCCGGAATGTCTCTGTTTAAGAAAAGAACGGTTTCCTACAGATTGTAACCTGGAAGTGATCGTAGAATGGCGTCTTGTGTCATGGTTAGCTTCCCCTGGGTTGAGGCCATCCATGGAACGGTGGTAAAGAACAGGAAAGGGAAGCACAAGCTCCCAGCTGTTACAGGTTCTTAGCGTTCTAGAAGTTCTCTCGCAGTGTATAGCTCGGTTCTCAATAAACAACTATTTCTATGATTGTTTTTGCTTTTCCTCCTGGACTGTAGGCAAGGCACTGTGAGGGCAGAAGCTGTTCCTGTCCTGTTCATTGCTCTACCCCCATCACAGTGGGTTGTGCTCGGAACATAGTGGGTGCTCAAAAACTAGTCATCAGATGAGTGAAAGGTCTGCGTCAGGCAACTCCAGGAAAAAGTGTTGAATGTGAAGTGGTAAAAAGGGAGAAATGCCTCCATCTCCCCTCACCCCCCCATCATCCCATCTCAGTTTCAGGCTGGCACCCCCAATGCACACACTTCTGATTCTTAAGCATTATAATCTGCTTTTATGTTCTGGAATCTTTTCTTTTTTCTACTGTTCTATGGATTGGTGTGGTCATCCACTTTATTTATTTATTTATTTACTTATTTATTTATTTCTCTATCTATTTGAGAGAGAGAGCACAAGTGGGGCAAGAGAAAGAGAGGGGCAGAGTTCATGCTGAGCATGGAGCCCAACGTGGGCCTCACATAATATCCACGTGGGCTTTGCATAATATCCTCTATGTGTTTGCCACATTTTGTACTTATTCATAGTTCTTAAGAATATTAACAGTGTCGTATCAGATTAGACAAATAGGTCACCCAGCCTAGCCTCTCTTCCTTACAGGGCATCTGAGTGTGTTTGGTGGGAAGATCTGGCATCTTGCATGCTACCCTCAAATATCAGAGATGCATCTTGAATGCCTCTAATTTCTCTCTCGTGACTTTTTTTGACCTTGCCACCCCTGAAGTTATTAAATCCCTTCAAATCCCTCCATGCTCTGTTTTCACACTTCTTTTGGGGGGGGCAGGTAATATATTTATTTAAACCAAATCTAAAAATACGTTAGTATGGAAATTGGCTTTCCACAGTAGCTCCATGCAAACATACAGAAAGGAAGAGTGTGCATTTTATCATTTTGCACACTCTGTAAATTTAGTGAGCTCTTACTGTGTGTCTAGCATTTTGTCAAGAGTATTAATATGTATTTAAAGCAATTTTTAGCATTAGTCTATAAAACACTGTTCTTTATGCATTAAAACTTGAGTCCTGTGAATGCTGAAGTAGTCCTATGATTTGTATTTATTGTTTGAGGAAAGAATGTAAGCAGTACCTTTCTTTTTCTCTGTAGTATTTGGGAAAGCAATCCAAGCTCTATCACGAATCAGTGACGAGCTGTGGCTAGACCCATCTGAAAAAGGTGTAAGTAAGAAAATTAACAAATATACCATCTATTAAGGCAAAAGAAGATGTTTAAAGACCCCAGGCCAGATTGAATGTTAACTAGGAAACCCAGAAATTGTAATTATCTCTTTCACTGTTCATCTTTATTTTATTTATCTGAATACATTGAGAGCATATTATAAAAATCATGCAGAGAAACACAAGAGATTTAAACCAGAAATTGCAAACTGGTGGTCAAGAGGCTAGATATAGCTTGCAGAAGTGTTTTGTGGGAATGCATTATATTTTGTTTTTTAATGAAATAATTTTCTAAGCTTAAAAATTGGTAGAGTCCATATAAAGATCTGAGTTTCTTGCTTCTCTTAAAAGCTTAGAAGATCTGACAGTTTGGGGCCAGCATTCCCAGGTGGAAGTAGTTGGCTGGAGCTGTCCGACGATTTCTTGCTTTAGATGAGGCAAGAGATTGCCATCCTGCTGCCATCTTTTTACCCCCTTTTACATTGCCTTCTGCCACTTTGTGCATAAAAGTTAAAGGCATTCACAACTTTACAATTTCAACCTGCAAGACTTTAGAGTTAATACCTGTATGTATTCAATACAGATGTGTATCATGTATGTATATGTATGCAAATTCGATATAAAGTATATGATGCTACCCATTTAGTATCTATAATAATTTGTATTTATAATGTAGTCCATATAATGCAGTTACCATCCCATAGCCTTATTTGAACACATTTAACTGCAGTGTTAAACATAATAGAATTTTTTGAATTAATCATTTAGAGAAAGTTGATTTTTTTCCTTAATATCTCTTATTTTTCAGCTTGCTTTAAGATCTGTGAATTCTTGTCGATCAGCATATGGATGTGTCCTGTTTTCTCCTGTGTTTTTTCAACATTATCAATGGTCAACCTCAGTGAAAGTAAATGAGAATGATTCGACAACATCAAATTTAAATTGCAAATTGGGAATGAAGGTAAATATAAGTGGCCCTGGTTTTCTTGTATATTGTAGAAATATTTATTACATAGTACATGACATCTATTCTGCATTTAATACATGGTTAAAAAGGCATGCAGGACACCCCAATGTTTATAGCAGCAATGTCCACAATAGCCAAACTATGGAAAGAGCCCAGATGTCCATCAACAGATGAATGGGTAAAGATATGGGGTGTGTGTGTACACACACACACACACACACACACACACACACACAAAATGGAATATTACTCAGCTGTCAAAAATGAAATGTTACCATTTGCAATGACATAGATGGAACTAAAAGGTATTATGCTAAGTGAAATAAGTCAGAGAAAGACAATTATAAAATCCACTCATATGTAGAATTTAAATTCTTAAATTGTTAAGAATTTAACAAAAGAGAGGATCACAGGGGAAGGGAGGGAAAAATACAAGAAGATGAAACCAGAGAGGGAGACAAACCATAAGGGACTTTTTTTTTTTTTCAAAGATTTTATTTATTATTTGAGAGAGAGAGCATGAGCGGGGTGAGGGGTAGAGGGAGAAGCAGACTCCCCGCTGAGTGGGGAGCCTGACATGGGGCTCTATCCCAGGACTCCGGGATCATGACCTGAGCTGAAGGCAAATGCTCAACCGACTGAACCACTCAGGCACCTCAGGAGACTCTTAATATAGGAAACAAACTGAGGGTTACTGGAGGAGAGGTGGCTGGGGGTGGGGGTTGGGGTAACTGGGTGATGGGCATTAAGGAGGGCACTTGATGTAATGAGCACTGGGTGTTACATGCAACTGAGGAATAACTAAACTCTACCTCTGAAACTAATATTACACTATATGTTAATTGAATTTAAATTTAAAAAGAGAAAAAAAGTGTTAAAAGAAGGGGAAAATACCTTTTCAACTCAGAAAAAAAAATGAATATTGGCTATTTTATTTTTAAAGTTGACATTACATAGCTACATAGTTCAAAACGGAAATAAAAATTTTAAAAATATTTTAAAAAGGCAATGCAAGGCAAATCTATTCACTTATGAATATATATGCTCTTCTTTTGTTAGTTCATTTAAACTAATAGAACAACCATATTAAGTATCTGCTGTTCTATGTTGTATTTGTGTTACAGTCAATTCTGCCCATCTTTAGATGTCTGAATTCCCTTGAAAGAAATGTAGAGAAGTGCAAAATATTCACCAGTTCTGATCTGTGCAAAGTCGTCATTCAGTTCTTCTGCAGACATGGTAGGTCTCATTAAAACTAGTTTAAAGTATTGTTTTTTTTGTTAATATTTTTTATGTTTAGAATATTCAAACTGCATATTAAGACTTCTCATTGCATTACTGCTTAGAATTTGGTTTTGTGGTAGAGCCATTGTAAGTACTTGAAAAGTATTATCTTACTTGTCTCTGTAGAAGTATTATGAAGTGATTGGTACTTTTGCTTTTCCAACTTGTCAGCAGCACAAGCTTTGCCTGCATACAAACCAATTTTTTTTTTTAATGTCCACTTGAATTCAAACAATAGGTGGTTCTAAAATTAACTGGCTGCTTGATGATATTCTGTAAGAGTGCCTTGGAAACAGTGTTCTTTGGTAAGAATAGAAAGGAATAGTGCCAGCTTGTATTGAAAGTCCTCTGGAAGGCAGATAGTACTTATCTGGAACTGAAAGAAGCATGGTAACTGGCCCAGGGTCACAAAACTAGTAAGTCGTCGAACCTGGCTTTGAGTCGAGCCCCAGTAGTAGGAGCCAAAACCTTTATACATTCTCTCTGTCACACCAAGCTGTAAAACAGATTTCCTACCTCACAGCCTTGCAGGGTAGATATTCAAATGTTTTACTCACAGGACATTTACATGCTTAAGTATCTCTAGCACAGTGATTAAGAACATGGATTCTGGAGGCCACAAAGTTTGGGGCGGAATCCTGCTCCGCCCTTTCCTTGCTGATACTTTGGACAAATTATTTTACAACTGTGTGCCTCATTTGCCTTAAATGTAATAATAATAATAATACCCAGCATTCTTGGGTTTTTGTGAGGATTCAATGAGTTATAGGAAGTTAGAGTTCCACAGTGTTTAAAAGAATGCCTGGCACCTTCTCTAAGTGTTAGCTCTAGTTATAATTTTTATGATTGCTGTTATTTTATTTGAAGTTAGCAGGTAGAATTGTATGCTTTACAACTCATTCTTGTGATATTAGTCCAAATCTTTTTTTGTAGTGGAATGGTCTTCTGGAAGGTTATCATAGTGTTACAATTATCTTTTATTTGTTACTTTGCCTGACAATTATCTTAATATTTTAAGCTATTTGTATTATATTCTTTAATTTTTTCCCTGCAAAATATCAATGATTTAACGTGATTTTCCCCCTTTGATTTTTAGTTCACATAATAGCAGAATCATGTAAAGAGCATGATTAAAAGCACAGCAGGCAGGGGCACCCGGGTGGCTCAGTCGGTTAAGCGTCTGCCTTCGTCTCAGGTCATGATCCCAGAGTCCTGGGATCGAGTCCCGCGTCTGGCTCACTGCTCAGCAGGGAGTCTGCTTCTCCCTCTCCCTCTGCCTGCCTCTCTGCCTACTTGTGCTCTCTATCTCTCTGTCAAATAGATAAATAAAATCTTAAAAAAAAAAAAGCACAGCAGGCCTTGACATCACAGACATGGGTATGGATTCTTCTATACTTATTAGCTTTGTGAAAGTACATAAGCTTTGTCAACGCAAATTGAACAAACCTTGTAGAATCTCAGAAAGTAAGAGAGTTTTATTCGAGTCCAAGTTAGGACAACTGCCTGGAAACACACTTTTCACAGGGAAGAAAATGTTCCAGAGGATGAACAGTTTTTACAGGGTTATATACATTTTTACATCTTGTAAAAGCTGAAAAGATTATAGATGCGTATGTAGGCAGGCATCACAAGTTTCATCGTAAAGGAATGCAGGGAGCAGGAGCATTGATTGAGATGCCTCAAGGACAAGATGGTTTTCCTTTAGGCTACTCATCACAAAGCAGATGTACATTGCATGCATGGCAGGCCATAAATCAGGCTTTTGGTTTGAACAAAGTTTATGTACAGTCATGTGAATTTAGGAAGAAATCTAAGATGGCCTCCCTTGTATATCAGGCCGTTAGAGAGTTTTTCTCTCATCAGTTCTCTGTATTGTCATTTTCTTTTCTGTAAATGGGGATAATCTTATCTACCCTCATGTTCCGGGGTTGTTGTGAATGTGAAGCAGGATCACAGTGTGAAGCATATAGCGTGGTGCTGACGCAGAGGGAGTACATCGTCGATGATCGCTGTTATTACAATGACCCTCATCCCTTATTTCCAGCTAGATTTTAAACAACCAACTTTTCAGTTTTTTTCTTTCTTTTTTAAAAATTTTATTTATTTATTTGACAGAGAGAGCGAGCACAAGCAGGGGGAGCTGCAGAGGGAGAGGGAGAAGCAGGCTTCCCGCCAAGCAGGAAGCCCGATGCTGCCAGGACCCTGGGATCATTACCTGAGCCGAAGGCAGACGCTTAACGACTGAGCCACCCAGGCGCCCCTTCAGTTTCTTAAGAATCTCTCAAGTAGCTTAATTAGAGTAATGTCTAATACATATTTGTAATTGGTTGATTTTTAATAGCTTTTGTAGGAAAGCTGTGAGTTAGGATGCCTTAAGTTGCAACTAACAGGGAAAAAAAAACACACGGAAAATCCAACTCAAACTGACTTTAATAATGAGGAATATTGGCTCTTGTAAATGAAAAAAGTTCAAAATTAGGTCACAGGCGTGGTTTGATCAAGGCTGCAGCAGCTGCTGCTTCTTTTCCTCCTTCCTTTTCTTTTCTTTTTTTTAAAGATTTTATTTATTTATTTGAGAGAGAGAGAGTGCACATACAAGCAGGTAGAGGGGCAGAGGGAGAGGGAGAAGCAGGGAGCCCGATGCGGGGCTCGATCCCAGGACCCCGGGATCATGACCTGAGCCCAGGACGCTTAACTGAGCCCGCCAGGCGCCCCTTTCCTTTTTTAAATTCACTCAGCTCTACTTTCCTCCATGTGATTTATCCTAAGGCTTCTCTTACAAACTTTCAGTGCTAAGGCGGCTTGTAGCAGCAGCTGGGGCTAATTATTTCCTCTTTCACATCCAGTGGGAGTGAGAGCCTTGCCTTATGTATCCAGTGAACAAAATCGCTTGACTTTGCTCTGACTGTACCAACCTAAATCAGTCCTAGTGGCCAGGGCATTCCCATCTCTTAAGTGCCATATCTGGTCCAAATTTAATTGCAGGGGGAATAAGATCACACCAATTGGTTTGTACCAATGAGGGCCTACCAGTGATGCTGAAAGTAGAGTCAGTCCCCGCCCCCCAACCTCATGGCTGCTATGAAAGGGGGAAGGGCCAATTCAGGAAGGAAGGGGACCAGAGGACATGGATGCTGCTAGGTAACTGGAGTAGTTAGGGTTTCCAAAACTGTATGCACACAGCAAATTATGCTTGCGACTTTATATCTGTAATCTGGTGGGGAAACATTGTTCAGATTTAGTTGAAAAAAATTACCTGGGTAGAGATAGCCCATAAGCTGCTAGAAATACATGTTTGGGATTTGGGAAGGAATTAAGGACAGTGATGTAAATTTGGCTCTCTTCATTGATAGAAAACAATTGAAAAAACATGAGCTACTAAAAAAGACTAACTTCTCTAAATCTAACCTTGAAAAGTTTCCAGAACAGTGATTTCGTGAATTATTTAGCATCTGCTAACAGGAAACAAGGATTTGTATCATTGAGAACCAAGATTTACCTGAAATATTTATTTTATTAATAATTCCATCCATTCTCCATTCTTTCTTTGCACTGGCCCTAGAATTGCTAAAAAGGAGTCTGTGAGTTCCTGAAGCACACTCTCTGATACACACCACATGCTAACGTGTTCTGTCCTGGCTCAAGGAGACAGGCCTCCAGCAGAGAGGGGCTTCCATAAGAGAAGAGGAGTGCCCTGGAATACTGAGCGAACCTAAAACTTTGATTCATACGCATGTATTAACGAAGTGATGTCAAGAAGGCTGGAATCCCACTTCAGGGTTTCAAGTTTTTGTCAAAGGGCATTCTACAGACGTGCTAATGACTTTAAACTTGCTTAACAGTGAACTTATAGGGATTGGGTCCCATTTAAATAACTTACAAGATTTTTGAAGTATCACTCACCTCTGAAATTCTAAACTCTACAAATGTAACATCTCCAAAATAATGGTTGTTCCTTAGCTGTACCCCTTCAGGTTTGAAAGAGTTCTCTGGACCCACTGAGGGAAGTTCCAAATTGAGCTTATGAAGTGGCAAGTAGAATTCTGCCCTAGCGTCAGGAATCCCATGGCCAGGAGCAGATGGGATGAGACACTACTACTCAGAATGATCGTTAGCCTGGCTGCTGGGCCCCAAGCTGTTGTCACCGGTCTGTGAGATATTAAAGAGCTTATGCCAGAATTTAAGCCAAACATGTGACTAAGCATTTGCTTTAGTTCAGCTGTTGTTGTTATCTTTTTTTTTTCTTCTTAAGTAGGCTCCGCTCCCAGCGTGGAGCCCAGTGCAGGGCTTGAACTCACAACCTTGAGATCAAGACCTGAGCTGAGATCAAGTTGGATGCTTAATTGACTGAGCCACCCAAATGCCCCAGTTGTTGTTCTTAGTAGTAAGATTTTCTCCATGAAGAAAGTCCATTCGAATGCAAAATTCCTTATTGCATTACGGTCCAGTACTTTGTGCAGCACAAGATAAAGTTAATAAATGACCCAGGGAGAAAACAGGACTTCTAAATGTTTATCCCATTTGTATCCTATCAAGGAAAATTGTTATTAAACTAGAAGACTAGAAAAATGCAGTGAAGAGGTACATGCTTTAAAAAGGATACAGGAGGGGGGCACCTGGGTGGCTCAGTCAGTTAAGTGTCTGACTCTTGATCTCCGCTCAGGTCTTGATCGCAGGGTTGTGAGTTCAAGCCCCATGTGAGCTCCATGCCCAACGTGGAGGCTACTTAAAAAAATAAGATAAAATAGAAAGGGTACAGTGGATGTTCTTTGGGCCAGAGATTCAGAGGAGAGAAAGGTGAAGAGGAAAGGCTTTGTGGTTAGTGACTAGGTGAGTGACTAGGTGAGTTTCCAGGAGGTGGAAATGGGAAGGGATTCTATGAGGAGCAAGCAGTGGGAGCAAAGGTATAGGCTGAAAGTGTTTAGCACTTGTCGATAAGGAAAAAGGAGAAGGAAGCAAGTGGCAAGAAAAGGAGCATCAGCAATGACAAGGAAATTAGACATTTCTCTGCTTGGACATCTTTGGCCATGCCAGTATTCACTTGAGTGAAATATTTAGAGGTATGTTCTAGAGGTATGATTGTGCTGCATATGCCACGGCTGTTTCTAAGAATACCTAAGAAACTGCTAACAGTGGTCCCCTCTGTGGAGGGTATGGGGGTGGCAGGAGTTAGGGGTTGGGGGTGACTTCCTTTTCACTGACTATTCTTTGGTATCTTTTCAACTTTAGACCATAAGCATCTAATACCTGTTGCTCCAAAAGTAACTTGGAAATAGTTTTTAAAATACGGTAAATTATGCCAACTTTCGAGCTTTGTGTCTTCCCCAAATAGAAATCACAGTAATTCCTTGCAGTGCCATGCTCTTTGTAGTACATCTAAGAGGTACGGATGAGTGCAAAGATGAAATAAGTGGGATATGTCACTCCAGTGCTCAAAATTCTCTCAACGCCTCCCCCCAAGCCTCCCCACTTACCCAGGGTAAAAGCCAGAGATCTTACAGTGGCCAATAAGGTCCTACATGGGTCGGGAGCCCTCTGCCTAGCAAGCTCCTTCTCCAGATAGCATGTTGCTCCGCTCTTTCTCCTCCTCCAAGTCTTTACTCAGATGGCTTCGTTTCCATGAGGTTTTCCTTGACCTCCCTATTTAAAATTGCTATCTACCATGACTGGCACCCCCTAATGCCCATTCTGCTTTGCTTTTTTCCTGTGGCCCTTATCACAATGTGACCTATCCATTATTTTACTTGTTTATTTTCTTATCATCTGTCTCCCTTCCCTAGAAGGTAAGCTCTGTGAAGAGAGAGATGTTTGTCTGATTTGTGCTTTGCTAATCCCTAGCTCCTGAAATTGTTCCTGTGTAGTAGATTACCAGACAAGTGCTCACAAATTATTTGCTGCTCCTCACCCTTCGAAAGCTGGAGTCTGTTTCCCCCGCTGGAATCTTGGCTGGTGTTGGGCTTGCTTTATCAATTAAATAGAAGTGATATTGTGTGAGTTGCAAGCCTAGGCCTTAAGAGGCATGGCAGCTTCCCCTGTGAAAGCAGGAACCCCTCCCTCAGCATGACAACCAGTGCTGCACAGTAGACTTCTGGAGGATTAAGACCGTGTGGTGGGAGGCCTCAGCCGTCCCAGCAGTCTCAGCCATGCCAGTTGTTCCACTGGGTCCTAAACAGGAAAGTGAAGCCATCCAAGATGTCCAGCCACAGCTAAGCCAGCTGAAACCAGAACTACTCAGCTGAATTGTGAGAAATAATAAATGTTTGTTATTTTGAGCCACTAAGTTTTGGAGTGGTTTGTTCTCCAGCAAAAGCTAACTAATGCAGCTTTGTGCATAGTAGGTGGTCTGTAAATATGAAATTAATAAATGTTGCCCTTATTAATTTTGTATCCAAAAACACCCCCAGGGGCACCTGGGTGGCTCAGTTGGTTAGGTGTCCGACTCTTGATTTCAGCACAGGTCATGATCTTGGGGTCATGGGATCGAGCCTTGTGTCGGGCTCATGCACTGGGCATGGAGCCTGCTTGGGATTCTCTCTCTCCCTCTCCCCCTCCTCCCTAAAAGAAAAAAAATCCAAGTAAGATGAGAAATGTTGTTTCTAGTGAGTCCTTTTGATTCTCACCACAACATTATTGTGCTGTAGAAGGTTACAGCCCATTTGGATTTCATTACAAGGGCTCTATATTCAAACTTAGGTTCAAATTATCCCTATACTTGTTAAAATAGCATCACCTTAAAAAGTCAGTTAGCCTCACTGAGCTACAGGTTCCTTTTCTGAGACTAAGTGCCTACCCCACAGGGCTGTTGTGAAGATCATAGGTAATGTGTGTAAAATGCATACTACAGTTGCTGGCACATACAGCCATAGCCGGTAGGGCTACACACTCTTCCCCTCTTCCTCCCCTCAGAGAAAAAGAATTCACAGACCAGGTGTTCATGTCTGACTTCCAGAATTCCCAGAAACCCAAAAATATCAGACCTGGATGAAAGGTAGTGAAAGAGAATGATAGGCACATGAACTAGAGTGGGCAATGACTATTTTACCCACAATTTAAGAAATAACTTGTATTTCAAAAGAACTTGGGAACTCTACTGCCTGATTGGTCCGAGGATATGGCATGTTGCATGGTGTCCACTAAGGGGCGATAAACACATTTCATAAAGGAATTCTGCTCCTTCAAGCTACGGGCACCTGCCAGATAGGAAATGTTTCTTTAATTTTATTATTTTAATGTGGCTGTGAAACATAGACTTTTTAAATAGTTCATGTTGCACTTAAAATTATTAACAGATTGCTTTATTTTTTTTAAGGTATTAGAAGAACTCATAATGTGTGTTTTCAAGAAAGTCAGCCCTTGCAAGTTATTTTTGAAAAGAATATGTGTTCTAATACGCTAATTATTCAACCAAGGTAATGAGTTCTCTGGTGTTTATTTTTTTCTCTAAATATAATGTGGGCACAGAGTAAAGGGTTAATGCCCTTAATTAAAATTTGAAATCAGTTATATTTTTTAAAAAAGCTAACATTTGACTTGGAGAAATCCCCTTACAAGGTCAAGAGGAAACTGTGAAAAAGATAATAGTAGATAATATAATTGCTTAATGGTAGCAATAATGATTTAGTGGCAAGAAAGTTCTAAAAATATCCTATTAGTGCCTTTCTACATCAAGTGATACCAAGAGAAAAATATATTCCCTAATTATACTTTGCATTTATATATTGCCTTCTGAGTCTTAAAACACACAACACAAGGAAACGTTAATGTTTTTATGTAAACTGATTTTATCCCAAGTGTTTGCATTTTTTCTTTAGAGAATGTGCATTTGTCAGAAAAATGCACCCAATTTTTTAGTGCATTTGTCAGAAAAGTGCACCCAATTTTTTAGTTAAGCTGTAGCATTAAACATTAATTACTTTGTGAGCCAAAGGATATTTTATCCTTATTGTCCTTTAAATTAAACAAGCAATACATGCTCCTTGTAATACATCTAGAATTTGTAGAGGAGTGCAAAGATAAAAAAATTAAAAGTTTTTCTCCTCTACCTGTCCCCTCTGTCCCACTTGGCAGAGGTAACATCAATCAACAATTTGGTGTATATCCTTGTAGATCTTCTTCTTTCTATAGCCAATCTCTCTGTAACTCACCCTCTCCTTATAGCTATGGATATCTTTCTTTCTCTTCCTTCTTCCCCCCTCTCAAATTTATATTACTTATTAGACACATACTTATAACTAATTTTTTCAAAGAAAATGTCCTACTGTTATTATTTGGCAACTTGATTTTTTAAGTTTCTGTGTCAGTTCACTTAAATCAATCTTACTGTTTTTAATGATTACATAATTTTTCACTGTATGACTGAACCATAATTTAGTTACCCATTGTCCTATTAGTGAAAAAGTAGGTTGTTTCCAGCTTTTTGCCATACAAAAGTATATTAGTTGCCTATTTCTGTGGAAAAAATTTCCTCCAAACTCAGAGCTTTAAGAAACCAGATATTGATTACTTCATAGTTATAAGTGTGGCTTAACTGGGTGCATCTGGCTCAAGGTGTCTCATGAAGTTGGAGTCAAGCTGTCAGCCAGGGCTGTGGTCTCATCTGAAGGCTGGACTTGGCGGGGGGTATTCACTCCCAAACTCACAGACATGGCTGTGGGGAGGCCTCAGGTGATCGACTTCCAAGCTCACTAGTCTGGTTGCTGGTAGGTCTCCGTTCCTCACCACACAGGCCTCTCTGTGGATTATCTGATTGTCCTCACAATGTGGCCACTGGTAATCAGAAAGAGAGAGAATTGATTGAGATGACTGATTGAGAGAGAGAATTCACAAATGGAACCAAAGTCTTTTTATAACCTAATCTCAGAACTGACATTTCATCACTTCTGCCATTTTCTTTGTTAGAAGTGACTCTCTAAGTTAAGCCCACACTCAAGGGCGGGGGATTATATGAGGGCATAAATACCAGGAGGTGGGGATCACTGGGGGCCATCGTATATGCTTAACACGGAGTCCTAGAAATGAAATCACTGGGTCAAAGGCTTACCAAATTTTAAATTTGCATACATACTGACTACCAAATTGCTGTCTTAAATGATGAGCCAACTTACATTCCCACCAGAAGTATAGGGGAGTCCTTTCAAGTAACATATATGATCAATCTTTAAAATTTTTGCCAACCTGATAGGTAGAAAATTGTATTATTAGATGTCCTTTTTTGTTGTGTTGATTCCTTGGGAGTTTGAACGTCTTTTCATATATTTATTGTATTTTTCTTCCTTTTTGAATTGCACATTTATGTTGTAATTTTTTTGTATCAGGTTATTTGGTATTTTATAAAACACCATAACACTGCAAAAGTTCCTAGATGAATTTGGTAGGTGTTCCTGACATTTTGGCATCAAGAAACACAGCTGAGCTAATGTCTCGCATCAGGTTAACATCAACATTACATACATTCTAAGACTCTCACTTTTATCTGACAACATCTCAATTTCAAAAGTAGCCCAGATCTTGTAATGTAATGATAAAAAGATAACCTAATTAAAAATGGGCAAAGGATTTGAATAGATAATTTGCCAAAGAAGATATACAAATGGTTGAAAAGCTCATGAAAAGGTGCTCAACATCATTAATAGTTAGGGAAACACAAATTAAAAAACTTTAAATCTGTGAATTGTACAGTATGTGAATTCTGTATCAATAAAACTATTTTTAAAAAGGGAGCCCAGGATAAAAGGACATTTGGGATGTCAAGACAACCTTGAAAGTAATAGGTAATAATCTAGGACAAGTAACAAAGGGAAAGAGAATAGAAGTAGCAGGCTGCTCATAAACCTCTACCCCTCACCCAGCATAGTTGGGTCTCCAGCATAGTTCCACCCGGTTCTCCAGCATAGTTCCACCCGGTTCTATCTGAACAGCGATGTTTTCTACTACCTCCCTTAGGAGTATGATTGCAGGTCATTAAAAATATATAGGGGTTATATAAAACCATGGAATTGAAGACATTTCTTCCAGTGTCTGGTTTATTCTGCAGCTTTCACACGTCTTACTAAGAATATATTTTACTATTCTCTTGGCTTTCAAGTGAATTTTAAAATATACTAAAAATATTGCAGCTCACGTAGAAAAAATAAGATAGGTATTTTGGGTAAGTTTTTAAAAAATCTGGGCTGACTCACCTGTTTATTTCCAGATTAAAGATTTGAGTCCCATTTAATAAGATTCTTTCTTCTTGTTTTTCAAGTTACATAGTACTTTTCATTACATTTTGTAGAGTGCTTGCTGAGGCAGTTGTTCTTTTTACATCAAGTCAAGAAGAAGTTACTCTTGCTGTTACCCCACTCAGCGTTTGCCTTAAGAGTTCCAGTGATGAACCAATGGGTAAGGACTACATCTGTCATGGCGCTTGGATGGCTTGTCACTTCCTGGGTTTCTTGATGACTAACCATACAGTAAACATTGGTGGCATAACGTTTATTCTTATCTAAAAAGCAGTAAGATGTAGAAAGATCATTAAAATTTTTAAGAGATCCAGGAAATGGAACACAATCAATAATTAAAACATTTGGCTTTGAAATTCAGGTTATTTTAAAATTAGGAGAATCATTACTGAGAAAAGTATATTTTCAGTTAAGATTTTTAAGGTCTGGTTTTCATCTTTTTTTAAATTTATTTATTTTTTAGTAATCTCTGCACCCAACATGGGGCTCAAACTCACAACCCCAAGATCAAGAGTTGCATGCTTTTCTAATTGAGCCGGCCAGGCACCCCTGTTTCATCTTTTATCACCCTTTGTGTTTAGCATAAAGAAAAATTAAGAGGCCAGCAATCCAATTGAGATTATCGTTAATCACATCAGAAGAAAAAGTAGCTTTGAACTAGAGAAGTAAGATATTCCAGATGGCAAACACACACAGCAGAAAACGTGAATACTTACGTCAGCTCCTCCAAGAGTTATCTAGATTGAATGGAGAAACTAAGGCATGATTGAATCAGAAGTTTTGCTATCAAGAAAATTGACTATGGTCTTTTGGGTACAAGCTGTTTGAGACTCTTTAACTGTGGGTAATTTGGTGTGTGTGTGTGTTTGTGTGTGACAGCAGTAAAGAAAAGAAACGGAGGGAACTGTATTATTCCAGACTGAAAAACCAGTAGAACTAGGGCTGAAGTTGGATCAGATGACTTTTGTGTTTAGTGTGTGCCATGTTCTTGTTCTTTTTTTTTTTTAACTTTTTAAAAAAAGATTTATTTATTTATTTTGAGAGAGAAGGGGAGTGTGAGCAGGGGGAGGGGCAGAGGGAAAGGGAGAGAATTTCAAGCAGACTCCCTGCTGGGTGGGGAGCCTGACGCAGGGCTCCATTCCAGGACCCCAAGATCATGACCCAAGCCGAAATCAAGAGTTGACTTTTCAGTCAACTGAACCATCCAGGTGCCCTCTATGTTCTTTTTCTAAATGGTTTCCATTTATGAATTCATGTGATCTTTGTAAGCTCTGTGATGTAGGTCCTATTATTATGTCCATTTTTCATGTGAAGCACAGAGAAACTCAGTGACTTGCCTGGTGTCACACAGTTAGTAAGTGTGGATTATCTGAACATAGGCTCCAAGGCACAGGCTCATTACCATTGTGCTATTATTACTTCTTTCTAGTCTTACCTAGCATTGTTTTTTGACACTCAGAAGTGCATGATCAGGAAATGATGTGCTTGGCTACTGAAAGGGTCTGTTTTGTATTCCATAATTCCATCTCTGAATAAAGATGGCCATTTAGTAACAAGAGATATTGTCCCTTGTGAGTAGCTTTCTAATGAGTAGTTCTAGTTATGGTTGACTAGGGACCCAATTGTTTATTATTGAATCTACTCTATGCTAGTACTTGGGAAGTGACATGAACCTTCTTGTTTGATAGGAATGATTTCTAGGACAGTGTTTGGTCCTTTTAAAAAATATATACTATTTATCCTTTGTTCTTACAGTTACGTTAATTCATATTCATTGAAGAAAATAAAAAACACAAATAAGCACTAATAAAAAAAAATCACCTGAAATCCCACTATCCAGAGATAAGCACTTTTAATAGTTTGGGACATCTCCTTCTATACTTCAGATCTAATATCAGAAGATTGGTTGAGTAAAGATAATGAAATACTATGAAGCTATTAAAAGTAATCCAATAAAAAAATGGGCAGATTGGGGCACCTGAATGGTGTAGTCAGTTAAGCATCCTACTCTTGATTTTGGCTCAGGTTGTGATCTCAGGGTCATGGGATAGAGCCCATGTTGGGTGCTCAGTGTGGAGTCTGCTTAAGATTCTCTGTCCCTCTGCCCCTGCCTCCCACTCTCTCTCTTTTCACTCTCTCTCCCTCTCTCAAATAAATCTTTTTAAAAAATGGGCAGAGTACCTGAATACTTTCTCCAAAGAATGTATACAGATGGCCACAGACACATGAAAAGATGCTCAACATCACTCATCAGCAGGGAAATGCAAATCAAAACCACAATGAAGATGTGAGGGCAATGTGGCTGAAACATCTGTCACTCCATTGATCGCCAGGATTGATTCAGTGGATCTGGCTGCTAGGCGGGTGTCCCCTTCCTCCCTCACCACTCCATGTGTGTCCCAAAGCTTCGCGCTCAAAGAGGACAACATTCCCAATAGAGGAGGACCGTTCTTTGGTCAAGGGTATATGAATAGCTGTGCCTCCCTGCTGGAGCCTTCAAACAAGCTCTCAATGTCCATTTGCAGGAGAGCGTAGGGTAGTCAAGCTTCCAAGACTCCAGACACATCCAAATGAGGCGCTGCATGTGGTAGTCTGCCTTTCTTTAAAGAGAAAAAAAAAAAACCCACAGTGAGATCTCATCTTATACCTGTCAGAATGGCTAAAATCAAAAACACAAATAATGAGTGTTGGCGAGGATGTGGAGAAAAAGGAACCCTTGTGTACTGTTGGTGGGAATGTAAATTGGTGCAGACACTGTGGGAAACAGTATGGAGGTTCCTCAAAAAATTAAAAATAAAAATATCATATGGTCCAATAATTCTGCTACTGGGTGTTTACCCAGAAAAAATGAAAACACTGATTTGAAAATATATATGCACCCCTGTGTTCACTGCAGTATTATTTACAATAGCCAGGATATGGAAGCAACCCAAATCCGTCATAGACAAATGGATAAAGAAGATGTGGTGTATATATAATGTAGTATAGTCATAAAAAAGAATGAAATCTTGCCATTTGCGACAGCATGGATGGACCTAAAGGATATAATGCTAGGGGCGCCTGGGTGGCTCAGTCAGTTCAGTGTCTGACTTTGGCTCAGGTCATGATCTCAGGGTCCTGGGGTCAAGCCTGCATCAGTCTCTCTGCTCAGCAGGGGTCAGCTTGTCCATCTCCCTCTGCCCCTCCCCTTGCTTGTGCACGAGTGCCCTCTCTCTTTCTCTCTCAAATAAATAAAATCTTTTTAAAAAAGGATATCATGCTAAATGCAATAAGTCAATCAGAGAAAGACAGATACCATATGATTTCACTCATATGTGGAATTTAAGAAACAAAACAAATGAACAAACAAAGAAAAAGAGACAAACATCTTGGGATGCCTGAGTGGCTCAGTCGGTTAAGTGGCTGCTTTCGGCCCGGGTTATGAGCCGAGGGTCCTGGGATCGAGTCCCACATCAGGCTCCTTGCTCAGCAGGGAGCCTGCTTCTCTCTCTCTCTCCCTCTGCTTGTGCTCTCTCTGTCAAATAAATAAAATCTTTAAAAAAAAAAGAGAGACAAACATCTCTTAAATACAGAGAGCAAACTAGTGGTTGGCAGGAGGGGGTGAAATAGATAAACGGGATTAAGAGCAATTTATCTTGATGAATACTGAGAAATGTATAGAATTGTTGAATTTTTATATTGTATACCTGAAACTAAGGTAACACTGTATGTTAACTACACTTCAATTAGAAAAAAAAGAAAATGAGAAAAAGAAAAGGTACTTGTGTGTGTGTGTGTATGTATTTTTTTTATTCCGAATTTTTATTTTTGTGGTTCCTTTCAGATATCTTTGTATGCATGAAATGTTTCTCCTCTTTCCTCCCGATTTTAAGGAGAGATGAAAATGACAAAAACTTTCATTTCTTAGCTTTATTCTGAGGCATCTTTGAGAAGGAAGCAACAGGGAGCTATGCAGTATTCACAAGGATGACTCTACCTTTTGCTGAATGACTTGCTTTCTGTGCTCAGTCAGAAGCCTACAGACAAATAGTGCCTATTTTATGGGTGTTTATTTGTTGTTTCTTTTCTCCCTCGTTCCTACTTCCTCCTTCTTTTTAAACTTCTTACATTTCCCAGCTTGCACAGGTGAGGCCTCATGTCACTCAGTACAACACAATGAAGCACCTCTGGGGCACCTGGGTGACTCAGTTGGTTAAGCATCTGCCTTCAGCTCAGGTCATGATCCTGGGGTCTGGGATGGAGCCCCACATCGGGCTTCTTGCTCAGTGGGGAGTCTGCTTCTCCCTCTCCCTCTGCTGCTCTCTCTCTCTCCATTATCATTGCTTCTTTTAAGTGCTGAATAACTTCTCGATTCTGCCTCCTTTTGGACTTTCTCCAGTGACTTTGAACAGGCAATCTACATTTTGTGGTTCTGGAGGCTGTAAGTCAGCTGAGGGCCTCCTCCTGGGTCACAGACTTCTTATTGTGTCCTCCAGGGCAGAAGGTGTGTGTATGTATTTCTGAGCGTGTATATCAAACATTTTTGTGGTGAAAAATTCGAAATAATTCATTCTTATCTTTTATGTTTCTGTGGGTTGATGGGGCTCAGCTAGACAGTCTGTTCTTGGGGTCTCATGCAATTGCAGTTAGACAGTGGCTGGGTCTGGAATCATCTGAATCCATCCAAGATGGCACACTGACATGGCTGGTAATTGATGCTGGGAGCAGAGCTGGGCTGTTAACCAGAGTGACTGCACACATATGGCCTCTCCATTTAACTTGGTCTTCATATAGCATGAATTCAGCATGGTGGCCAAGTTCCAAGAGTGAGTGTTATAGCATAGAGGAAGTGGATGGAGGATAGAGGAAGCAGAAATTGCCAGTCTCTTAAGGCCTGGGCTCAGAAACCAACACGAGGTCATTTCATCTATAGCACCATATCCTATTGGTCTTAGCAGTCAGAGAGCCCAACTACCCAAATTCAAGGGGAGGGGACATAGGGATAGACCCCATCTCTCAGTGAAAGAGTGTCAAAGGATTTGTGGCTATTTTTAATCTATCACTTACAGTTATATTTTCATATTAAAATTTAACAAGTACCCCTGGAACTAATTCTATTCTTTCTTTACCTATAATATTGAACAGATTTGACCAGTTCTGTGTACAGTGAAATGTTTGTTGGCCCAGATGAGTTTGACTTCTTTCAAATTGGAGCTGATACTGAAATAACATTCTGCTTCAAAGAATTAAAGGTAAACAAAAATTTGTATCAAAATTTCGCTGGTAGTTTTTAAAATAAAGATTTCAACTATTTTTCTTCTTTTTCTCTTTCAGGGAATCCTGACATTTTCAGAAGCTACACATGCTCCTATAGCCATTCATTTTGATTTTCCTGGGAAGTAAGTCCTTAGGAAATTTCCTCCCTCCCTCCCTCCCTTCTTTTCTTCCTTCCTTTCTTCCTTTTGTTATATATCAATAATAAAACCCTTTGGATCACTTTGAAATTAATTCACACCTCAAGAATTCCTTAACTTTACTAGCAACACTTACCAAACTAAAATTTGAAGGATGCCATACATGGCATTTTTAAATTGGTAATGGAAAAAGATATATTCTGCAGAGTGAAAACATTTATAAATTTGACATGGTGAAATTAATTGCCTAATTAGAAAATTAATTATACATGGCTTAAACAAGTCTAATTTCTATGAAACCATGATATTTCATATGGTATTTCAGAACTAAAATTTCAGAGACTGGGTTAGATGAGCTTTTTGAAATCAGATCTGATGATGTCGAAGGACCATGTTAATTTGTGAAAAGACAAATAAGACTTCTACTTTTACTGTCTCTTTTTACTTCTGAAGTGTCATTTTCTAATTTTCCTAATGTCCATCAGAAAACATGTATGGTGCTTGCTCTGACTTTGCCTTTTTTTAGACCTATGGCTTTAAGTATCGATGATATGTTATTGGAAGCTAACTTTATTTTGGCTACATTAGCTGATGAGCCAAGTAGAGCATCTTCTCCACCATCACTGTGTCTTTCACAAAAACAAAAAAGGTAAGACCGATGTTTTAACATCTTTACTGCTTGGGAAAAAGCCATTGCAATCTTATTCTGAAATAATTCATTGGCATTCATTTAGGGAATGAATGAGGAGTAAAACATTAGATCAGAAATATTGACTGAATCAGAAAGAGCTACAGTAGGAGCTAACTATTGAGAAATAGCACCAATCATGCACTAGACATTTGTTTTTTCTCTTCTGATCAGAATTTAACAGGACTGTCTGATTTATCTTTGTTATTACCCAAACCTCATTTCCAGTTTTGGCAGTTGTTTTTTAGGAGGGATACAGTGTTAAGGTTCATTGGTAAGTTTCTGTTCACTGCCTAGAACTCTTCTTTCTTGGACATGGGGACAGCCTTTGTTTTTCTTTCTTTTTTTTCTTTTGTCTCCATAACTTTTTTTTTTTTTTTGGTGCAGGGTGCTTCACTGTAAAAGTTAACTTAAAAGTACTATGGGAAATTTGGAAAATAGAGAAAAGTACAAAGAAGATAAATTGCACCACCTGGAGATAGCCACTGTTAACATTTGGCTCACTGTTTTTTCTTTTAGACTTTTTATTTTGCATAAGATGTTTTAAAATAAGATCAGGATCATATAGGATATGCAGTTTTCTTGTTCTTTTTTTTAAAGATTTTATTTATTAATTTGAGAGAGAGAGAATGAGAGATAGAGAGCACAAGAGGGAAGAGGGTCAGAGGGAGAAGCAGACTCCCCGCTGAGCAGGGAGCTCGACGCGGGACTCGATCCTGAGACTCCAGGATCATGACCTGAGCCGAAGGCAGTCGCTTAACCAACTGAGCCACCCAGGCGCCCTAGGATATGCAGTTTTCTATCCTCTTTGTCCCCCACAAAATATATTGTGAACAGGTTCCAATATCACTGATTATGACTTGGAAATATGATTTTTAATGACTGTATAGAATTTTATCATGCAGATGTATAGTAATTTGACTTTTTTTCTAACTCAGGCCCTGTTACTATATCACAGGTTTGTCTCATGCACACTGGGTTGCTTTACTGAAGAATTTGAATCTGTAGAGAAAATTTCTAAATAATCATATATGTAAATTTTAGCTTTCTTTTTAAAAATTTTTTTATTTAAATTCTAGTTAGTTAACATACAGTGCAATATTGGTTTCAGGAGTAGAATTTAGTGATTCATCACTTACATACAACACCCAATGCTCATCATAACAAGTACCCTTCTTAATGCCCATCACCCATCTAGCCCATCCTCCACACACCTCCCTCCATCAACCCTCAGTTTGGTCTCTACCGTTAAGTCTCATGGTTTGGGCAGAAGACATGAACAGACATTTCTGCAAAGAAGACATCCAAATGGGCAACAGACACATGAAAAAGTGCTCAACATCACTCGGCATCAGGGAAATCCAAATCAAAACCACAATGAGATACCACCTCACACCAGTCAGAATGGCTAAAATTAACAAGTCAGGAACGAGGATGCGGAGAAAGGGGAACCCTCCTACACTGTTGGTGGGAATGCAAACTGGTGCAGCCACTCTGGAAACCAGTATGGAGGTTCCTCAAAAAGTTGAAAATAGAGCTGCACTACCACCCAGCAATTACACTATTGGGTGTTTACCCCAAAGATACAAATATAGTGATCCGAAGGGGCACCTGCACCCCAATGTTTATAGCAGCAATGTCCACAATGGCCAAACTATGGAAAGACCCAGATGTCCATCGACAGATGAATGGATAAAGAAGATGTGGTAAGGGGAGTGGGGGGATGGGTTAGCCCGGTGATGGGTATTAAGGAGGGCATGTATTGAATGGAGCACTGGGTGTTATACACAAACAATGAATCATGAAACACTACGTCAAAAACTAATGATGTAATGTATGGTGACTAACATAACATAATAAAATAAAATTAAAAAAAAAAAGATGGGAGGCTCTTGGCGATGGACATTGGGGAGGATATGTGTTGTGGTGAGTGCTGTGTGTTGTGTAAGACTGATGAATCACAGACCTGTACCCCTGAAACAAATAATACATTATATGTTAATAATAATAAAAAAGTCTCTTATGGTTTGTTTCCTTCTCTCTCTTTCTCCCTTTTATTCCTCTCCCTCCCATATGAGCTTCTGTTTTGTTTCTTAAATTCCACATAAGAGTGAAATCATATGGCATTTGTCTTTCTCTGACTGACTTATTTTGCTTAGTATAATACATGCTACGTAATACACCTTACTAGAGTGTCCACATTGTTGCAAATGGCAGGATTTCATTTTTTTTTTTAAGATTTTTAAAATTAATTTATTTGACAGAGACAGACACAGCGAGAGAGGGAACACAAGCAGGGGGAGTGGAAGAGAGAAAAGCAGGCTTCCCGCTGAGCAGGGAGCCTGATGCGGGGTTCGATCTCAGGACCCTGGGATTATGAACTGAGCTGAAGGCAGCTGCTTAACGACTGAGCCATCCAGGCGCCCCGGCAGGATTTCATTCTTTTTGATGGCTGAGTAATATTCCATTTATATATATATCATATCTTCTTTATCCATTCATCAGTCGATGGACACTTGGGCTCTTTTCATAGTCTGGCTATCGTTGATAATGCTGCTATAAACATAGGGGTGCATGTATCCCTTCAAATCTGTATTTTTGTATCCTTGAGTAAATACCTAGTAGGGCAATTACTGGATAGTAGGGTAGGTAGTTCTATTTTTAACTTTTTGAGGTAAATTTTAAACTTTCAACAATCAGTTCTATGTTGTTTCAATATATTCTCTAAACTAGTGTTATCATTGTCATCCCATATTGCTTCATTAGTTATATAAAAATATACATTTGCAGGCTAACAGTTCATTCATTTAATCCCTTAATACCTCAGGTCTGATCTGATGTGTTCAACAAACAACAATTCAAAGACTGGCAAAAATGCAACCGGCAAGGCCCCAGGATGTATCTTGAGAAAAGCAGCACCCAAAAGGCTTTATCCTAATGAGACTCAAACAGACATCCCTGCATTGGAAAACTGTGGCAGCCCTATAATGAAAAGAGTGAATGAAGACATTAGTGAAGTGCCAGAAAGCAGTGTCAGTGACATGGAGGAGGGGCCAGGGTCTTCATATCTAAGGCAGGTAAAGGGAAAACATTGAGACATGACAACGTCTCAGTCAAGATTTCTCATCATCTGTCTCCCTTTGCAGTCTCCCTGCCCAGGTCCACCCCAATGTCCCGAAAATAGTTTCCTTGCTTTTTGATAGGAGAGTGGTGAAACCAGTCTGACTTACAGACTGTCAGTACAAAAGAGTTTAAATTGCTCATTGAGCAACAAAATATATTCAAGTGCATATTTGGGTCACTTGTATTAAAGAATAAATTATGATTGCTTACAGGATAATCTTTGAATACAAATAATACGCTAAAGGCATATAATTTACTTTCTAAGATAAGTGTCCTCATTTTATTTTTCAAATTGGGTTGGGAAATCCTTTACTCATCATAGTACAAATTAAATTTCATCCCAACAAGTATCACCAATTATTTCATAGTGGAGTCCCAGTTAATAACCTATTATATTACCAACATTTTACTAGCTGGATGATAAGCTTTACAGAATGCCATTGTGTTAAACCTTATGATATCTATTGAACTGAAGATAAATATGATTTATTAGAAACTGAAGTATCTCAAATAATAATTCCCAATTTAATATGTTTACATTAATGGTTTATTCAAGCTTGTTTTACTATTGCTGTTATTATTGGTTTAGAAATATGAGTTTCTTAACAAATTTGAAGGGAGAAATAATATTTCTAAAAGTCACTATCTTACACTGTATAAAAGACTTTTAGAGCAGTAAAATTGGGTAGTAAACTCCATTCATTATTCAGTTTGATACTGTGTTTATTGAATACCTATTATATGCCTAGCAGTTACAGCAATTTTCTCTTGTATATTACTAACTTGGCCATAAGGTGAAAACCGAAATTTGTCTTTCATTATACAGAAGCATTTTCCCCTTCTGTTTTTTTGGGCACACATATTGTGCTTATTTTTTCAAAGGTAACAATACAAAAACATTTTCTGGCCACTTCACTTCCCTGAAATTCACTAAGATTGCCCATTTCCTCACTAGGGAAAGTGACATTTATAAAGGACTGTAAAGAACTGTAAGCTCCATGAGCACCATTACAGGACTCTTCTTCAAATTTCCCATCATGTCACTTATATTCTAAAAACAACCGCCACCCAGGAGCCCCAACACAGTCCTATTTTAAATGGTATTATTTGCCTTAATGTGGCAAAGTCCTGCAAAACTGAAATTACAATATGATTGTTATTTAGACCCTTATCATCTTCCACCCAAACTATTGTGAGCCTTCCCATTGGCTTCCATGCCTCCATTCCCATCCACTCTGGTTCTCCTCCAGTGTACCAGAAGATTTTGTCCAAACCTTACATTTACAGTGAAGTACAGAGGTTTAGAGCACTGGCTCCAGATTTAGAATTCCTAGGTTTACATCCCTGTTTGCCACTTACTAGTTGTGTGACTTGGATAAGTTACTCCTCTTTTGCCTTGGTTTTATTATCAGTAAAAGGGGGATAATAATAGTACTACCCATTAAATAGAACTGTGGGAATTAATTGAACTAATATATGGAGCTGGCACATGGCTAATGCTCATTAAATGTTAGTTACTGTTACACATCACTCTCCTGTCTTCAAAACTCTTGGATCATTCCCTTTGTCCCATAGGATTACAACTAAACTCCTTGGAATGGCTTTCAGGGACTGTCCCTGGGGTATTTATTATGCTCTTCACTAGGCCTCCCCCTTTCCTCCTTCCTGCTCCCATACAAAACATACTCTATGCCGGGAATGGCAGATAGGTTTCCTCTTTAGTAACATCACCAGTCATTTGGTTGGGCAAACTAAGTTGAGCATGACTAAAGCTATATCTATAGTTGATTTGCAGCATTTGCCATGCACACGGGAGGGCCATCACCTGGGAACCAGACTCAAGCTATAGCCATTATGGTGCTAGTAACATTCTGATAATAATATGGCCCATTACTATATATTTGCTTGTTTGTTTTTAACTTTCCATTTTAAAATAATTTCACTTTTAAAAAGTTGCAAAAATTGGGGCACCTGGGCAGCTCAGTCGGTTAAGCATTTTCCTTCAGCTTAGGTCATGATCCCAGGGTCCTGGGATCAAGCCCTGTGTCAGGCTCCCTGCTCATTGGGGAGTCTGCTTCTCCCTACCCCTGCTTGTGCTCGGGCGTGCGCTCTCTCTCTCTCTCAAATAAATAAATAAATTCTTGAAAAAAAGTTGCAAAAATAGTACAAAGAATTCCTACATACCCTTCTCCCAGACTCTCCAAATGTTAACATTTATGTAATAGTACAATTCTCATTTCACCAGAGAAAAATCAGAAAATACAAATAAGAGATTATCAGAGATAATCACTACAAACACTTCTATTATTACTGTTAGGGCTTTTTCTATGCATGTTATATACACACATGCTTGCACACATGCACATCATATTTTTTAAAATTTTGAAATAAATTCAGACTCACTTGCAGAAGTAGTATAAAGAATTCCCATATACAGTTCACCCAGATTCCCTAAATATTAACAGCGTCTCCTTTAGTCTGGAACATTTTCTAAATCTTGTTTTATCTTTCTTTACCTTGACACTTTAGTAGAATGTCCCTGTATTTGAATTTTTCTGATTTCTTCATGATTAAATTTCAGCTGTGCATTTTTAGTAAGAATGAAACAGAACAATGCTGTGTTCTTCTCACACATTTTATCTGGAAACCCATGATGGAGATTTGTCTTCTTGGTGATCCTAATTTTATCATATAGTTAAGGTTATCTGCCAGATTTCTCCACGGTAAAGTTACTGTTTTCTGTTAGTAATTGAAAGTGGTTTGGTGGGAGATACTTTGAAACTAAGTAAATATCCTGTTTCTCATCATACTTTTTGCCTGCTAATTTTAGCATCCATTGATGCTTTTTTGTCTAAAATAGTTATTACTGTGATGCTTGAGAAATGGTAATTTTTCTATTATCAGATAAAATTCTGCTTTAATAACTTTCCTTCTCTTCATTTATTTGTTATTCAGTTATTTATGTGACAAAATACTCTTGAATATTAATTTTATTTTGGGGGTTATAATCCATTACTATCATTTATACTGGGAGCCTCTGTCTCTTTGGCATATCTGCAGCGTTTTTTGAGTACTTCCTTACTTTCTGGAAACTTAAAGTGTTCTAGGCTTACCTTGTATTTCCCAACTCCAACCCAAATGGAATCAGTCTTTTCTCCCAAGAGTCCTGGTTCCTTTGATCAGAGATGGTAGACAGAAACAACTTCTGGATGGTAGGTGTGCTCTTTTGTACTGGGATTTCCTTGCTTCTAGGCCCTCTCAGCAGACAAAGCTAGGAAACATATGCATTTATTGACACATACACACATATTGATCAATTTTTATATCTATTTGTATACATACATACTTATGTACATTAAAACCCATAAATTCATACTGATACCTCCAGTTCCAGTCCAACACCACAGGGTTCATACTGGCCTCCCCCATTTATTTACTTTTTAATTATTTTTTTAAAAAGATTTTATTTGGGCGCCTGGGTGGCTCAGATGGATAAGCATCTGCCTTCAGCTCAGGTCATGATCCCAGGGTCCTGGGATTGAGTCCCGCATCGGGGTCCCTGCTCAGTGCACAGCCTGCTTCTCCCTCTCCCTCTGCCATTCCCTCTGCTTGTGCTCTTCTGTCTATCTCTCTGTCAAATAAATAAATAAGATTTTATTTATTTATTTGAGAGAGAGAACATGAGCAGGGGGGAGGGTCAGAGGGAGAGGGAGAAACAGACTCCCTGCTGAGCAGGGAGCCCAACGCAGGGCTCCATCCCAGGACCATGGGATCATGACCTGAGCTGAAGGCAGATGCTTCACCAACTGAGCCCCCTGGGCGCCCCTCCCCTGTTTCTTTAAAACTCATTTGTCTGACAGTGAGAAACTTGGCTGTTGTTATCCACAACATGCTTACTTACTGTTCAATCTGAGAACACATAGTTTCAGAATTGCTAATCCATACCCCTGGAAGAAATGAATCTGCTAACAGAAGTACAATATTTGTGAATATTATTTTGTCTTCAGCTATTAAGTATATATTCAAAATACTGTTTCTCAGGGCACCTCATTGGTGCATTCAGTTAAGCATCCAACTCTTGGTTTCAGCTTGGGTCATAATCTCATGGTCGGGAGATCAAGCCCCACATCAGGCTCCATGCTCAGCACAGAGGCTGCTTAACATTGTCTCTCCCTCTGCCCCTCCTTCTGTGCACACTCTCTCTCTGAAGTGAATAAATAAATCTTTAAAAAAAAATACTGTTCTTCAAAGTTACTTAGGTTAGTTTTTTTTCCCTTATTCATATTTCAGTATGGTTATATTAATCATCTTTAATGCAGGTAGCTTTGTTTGCTCCCATTTTGGTTCTTCCCAAATCCTTGTTGATTTTGGTCTTTGAGTGCTGACCTATGAACAGCACTGGAAGTCAGAACTATAAAAGGGTGTATGCAGAGCAGTGTCACTCCTTCCCTTCTTTGCACCCTTTGTAGAGAATAAATCTCAGTTTTTATCATTTATGTTCTTTTTGCACAAATGAGCAGATACATATTTTATTTCTTTTTCTGTAAATATTATTTTCCACTTTGCTTTTTGCACCTAGCAGTATGTACTAGAAATCACTCCATATCACTTTATTTTTCCCCTCAATAACTGCGTAATATTTCATGTGTGATATACCATAGTTAATTCAACTATTCTCTTATATGTGGGCATTTAGATCCCTCCCCCTTATATTTTGCAATTACAAAGCTGCAGTGAATAACCTTTTACACATGTAAAGGTTTTCATATTGTCTGAAGTCTATCTTCAAGACAAATTCCTGAAAGTGTGTTGCTGGTTTAAAAGTGCATATGTAAAAAAGAAAAAAAAGGGCATCTGTAGTTTTGTTAGATGCTGCCAGATTCTTCTCAGAAAGGTTGTACCAGTTTGCACTCCCTCCTGCAATAGAGGAGAGGGCTTATTTTCTGCAGCTTGC